AAAAGCTTTCCACCCAAGATGGAATCCTTATATACAGTGCTCTTCCAGGTGACTGCCTATAAAGTAAAAGGAGGATCAATATTGGATAAACTATTTCAATTGGATAGTATTTCAGATTTGTTATTGAATTGTTTGGTTGTCTATTGTTTGATTGTTTTTTTCTTATTTTTCTTTTATTTAATGAATATTTAAAAATTTCCAGGCCCTTTGTTTGTAATGAATAATTAAGTTGAAGTTAAAGGTTGAATTAACCAGTACTATAGTACATATAGGTACCATATTTGGGGGTGGGGCTTTTGGGCTCAACCAATCACAGCTGGATAGGGATAACATAAAATTTCATCAACCAATTACAGCTGGAAAGGGGAAAACATCTCAATCCCATCAATCAATCACAGCTGGAAAGGAATAGGATATGTATTTAATGGATTGAAAGTGTAAAATTCCAGGCCTTTCTGAGCTTTCAGGTCCTGCTTCCCAATATGCTATCTGTACTGGTTCATTTAATATCACTCTAGAATTCCACACTGTAAACAGCAGTTATTCCAAAATATTCCAGATAGTATGTCCTCAGGGTAGGTTATACTCAGAACATGTCAACTTCCCTGCTCATTCAAATGATTCAAGAGTCACTACACAGGCAGAAAGTCCATTCTGTGCTGCTGAACCTGGAACTTTGTGGAGCTGAAATTGTCCAATTAACTAAATTTATCACTAGGAATCATAAATTAAAAATAAAGTCATAATAGCAGTTTCAGCGTTTCTTAGGCTGTAGGCCTAACCGCCGATTCTCAACATTGCATAATATTCACAGCTTGTTGCAGTCTCAAACGCGTAACTCACTGCTTCAATTTTGCTACCGTCAACCGGGGCTACTCTGGGCGATTTTGAATGTTTTTAATACATAACTTCTTACCATGAAACATTTTATAAACAAGTTTAGGCTCATTTCAAAGCTCTTTGCAAGGGCTATCACATGGCTTCTCTAAAAAAATCCCTTATGCTTTCGTAAGGTGCCAGAAGCAAAAAAAGAGTGTCCCAAGTAGCCCCATCAAACAGGGCTACTAGGGACGCTTGGAATAAACCTTAATTTTAAAACATTTGAAGCATGCAGAGTGTACTCACCCATTACTAACAGGATTCTGAAGTCCTCCTTAGTCCTTCTGACTAAGGATTCTGCTAAGGAGGAGGATTCTGATAAGGAGGACTAACAGGATTCTGAAGTCCTCCTTACCCCTCCTTAGTCCTTAGTCATTACTAACAGGATTCTGTAGTCCTCTTAGATAATGTAGAGGTAGAATAAATCACATTTTCTGTGAATTTTACTTGTTTTTCCTTTGTTGACATGATTATTTTTTTCTTAACTGGAGCCTTTGCTAACTGAGGTTCTACTGTAAATGCCTTTTTAATGGTGTCCCTAATTACCCCAGGGGGGTGTCCCTTTTACCCCATTGCGCGGAAATGGCTGCCATTTTTTTTTTTTTGGAATGAGATAGGCAAATTCCATCAATTAAATTTTCAAGCTGACACCTGGGTGCAACTTTTATGTAAGTAAAATTTTTTAATGACGAATATTTTTTTTGCTCCAGACCTTAGCAGAGGTACTTTTCCAAAATTACACTTTTCACACTTTTTTTCAGCGATTTTTTAGAGACAGTAATTGTTTGATTTCTTGACTAGCTTTATACATAATAGATAGTAAAAATGTTGAAGTTTACGCCACTAATTTTAGTTTTGCAATATTTTGATTAGTTTAGCTGCTACACATTTCTACAAAATGTGGGATGCATGTCCCAATTTACCCTGCCCCTCCCTTTTTACCCCATTTGACGGTACTACATAGATAGGAAAAATGTTGATGTTTATGCCACTATATTTAGTTCTGCAATATTCAAATTAGTTGTGCTACTAAAACAGATTTACTCCATGTTGGAGGACTGTCCCGAGTTACCCCGCCCGTCCCGAGTAGCCCTGGTTGACGGTATGCTTAGCCGCCCAGCCTCCTCGCAAATTTTGATAAGAAACTGTTGCACAGAGCTGGAATCAAACCTGCGCCTCTCTGTGCCAACCTTGTACTCAGAACTGTAACCACTGGGCCACCCTCGTGCATGAGCAGGGCTTAGAGTGCAATGATGGAGAAAAGGAGCAGCATCAGTTACATAGACAGAAAACAAAGTGGCTCTTCACAGGGAGCAGTCATTACAAAGGTTGGGCTGCATAGAGCGCCTTTGGTTGAATTTGAGATAACCTTCTCAAAGGTACAGAATAAGTATTACCAGATCATTAATAGTGCCACAGAATGTGAGTGAGAGTATACTCAATAACAGTCAACAATAAAGTTACAACAAAAAGATCAAATTAATAGCAATTCGCAAGAATCCAAAAAGACAAACGTTCAGCTATACACATCAAATTAATAGGAATTCACAACAACCCTGAAAGACTAAAATATTCAGTTATACACATCAACATCCTAAAAGAAACAGAAACAATGTACTAAACATATGGCATGGTGAAATAGTAAATTTTTACCAATAGTGAAAATTTACCTAAAAATATATACCTAATGATAATCAGAAAAGTAAACATCAAATACTCAAATACATAGTTTAAGTTAGTTATCTATTTTAATTTGTTAGTGCAGGAAAGAGGTGGAAACAGCCTCTGTAATTATTCTCTGAGTCGTAAGGGGACCGGCTACCCTAAAATTTTCAATTTTGGCGTTTTCCGGTTTATGTGCTTGTCTTAAAGCTTACTTTCTGACGCGTGTAACGGTACCAGACTCATCTCTCTACGTCAAAAAATGATTTCGTGACAGCTCCTCAAAGGGGGCGGTTTTAAGGCCCCTTCAATAATCTCTATGGGATTAATTCGAAGGCTGGACACACTAAAAAGGAATGTCTGACGTAAAGCGGCCAATTATGGCATTATCCGGTGCTTATACTCATCTTAAAGCTTACTTTCTGACGCATGTAATGGTACCAGAATCATCTTTCTACATGCATTTTTACATACACAACGCACCGTGGAACAGCTGTCTCTTATACACATCTAGATGTGTATAAGAGACAGNAAGAGGAGAGATGAGCAAGTACCTGCATGGGGGGGAACAGACTAATTTAATTTTGCAAGTGTGTTCTTGGCAGTAAGAGAGAAGGGAGGTAGAATAGAGCAGGAGCATGGGAGGGCTGGTTGTGATGGACTGGTTGGAAGATGCCATTTATTTTGGAGCACACAGGGAGTTGGATACCATAATGCGATATAAGTATTTGCATAATATCTCTAGCCAATGTTTAAGTAGGGGGGAAAAGAGCTTTAACTTTCAAGAAGATTGGGCTGAGCTATAGCAATTCCTATAGCTGGGCAGAGGAAGGTATTTTGAATTAAATTTAATTTGACACCAGGGAGCTGAGGCACTGGCCAAAAGGGAAGCAGCATAATCTAAACAACTGAGGATGACATTCTTGTAAAGTTTGATAAGCAGCATGCAGTCAGCACCCCATTTTCTATGTGAGACGGATTGGAGTTGATTAATGATTAGTAGTCTTGAAGTCGTCAAAGATTCAACTTGTGCACTCCATTGCAGTCTTGGTGCATTTAAGACACCACCAAGGTCACTTGGCAAAGCTTATGGAGAAGTTAATTATGCTACTCCAAGATTGATTTCAGGCTAGAATGTATTACTATGTGAACAGTCCCGACTATGAAGTATGGCAGAAAATAGGTCAAGAAAGTTGAATTTCTTGTTTCTAAGATGCCAAAGTATGGTTGAGAGAGACAGCTGTTCCCAATTACTTGTCTCCACAGATCACAAATTTCAACCAACATAGCCAGTAACTGTGCTGACGAATGCATGATATAGACTTGGCATGCATTACAATTGATCTGGGTGACTGATACTAAATGAAATAGCCATAGATAGAAATGAATTTTGTTGTTCTCTTGATTGATCATTAGTGGTACAACCTGGACCTAATCAGGACTTCAGTTATGTACTATGTTAGATACATAAGATTAGATTTTGAGTTCAAAACTGAAGGAGCTGCCAAGATCAGTCATAAATGTATGAACCAGAACCATTATTTCTGAAATTCCACCCTGTGCCACTCCATAGATTGTGATTTACATGATCTCTATTGCCACTATCTATGCAGGATAATCAAAAACTATAATTGAATGATAATCAAGTTCTGCAGAATTTACTGCAGGATTGTTGGGACTAATTCCACACTTAGTTTTTAGGGCAGGAAGCCATTACTTTTAAATATTGTAATAGATAAAGCTCGCCATCAATGCTGCTAGCAACTCCTCTGCCTAAGTCCCAGACAGACCAACTGTGCCCCATCTGAAGCATCTGTGCTGCCATGGTCATCAAAACGTTATTCATTTTTCTAACATATCAGTCTCCACTACCTCTATTCAAGCCATCTGGATGAAGTCAATAATCATCCTCACTGTGAAACATTTACATCAACACTGCAATATTATTGCTCACAGCAATTCAAATACAGGACAAGTATTGCAACACTTGCATGATCTAGATTTCTGGCAAAGTTAGTGCAATGGCGCTTGCATACATTACACTGATCTCCAATGTCAAAGAGACCTACAGACATTACAGCTGTTTGAGTAGCTTTTCCAGAGTGCTGCATGAACACAGCATCATTGCATATTAAACTTGCTTCTGCCTCCACCATAACCGACCAGTACCTATTACTGTCAGTGCTCTCTACTGAGGGTAATGAAACCATGGCCAACTCCAGTATGATTTGCACCTAAATCAGTAACAGAAAATATACCTAGGCTATGGTGTACTAATCACAAAATTTATCATCTCTTCAGTTGCTCCATCTGTCACATTCTCCTATTATCATCATTAATATGTTTTCATATTCATAATAGTATTTTATGACTTATTTGAGTTTGCCAAAATTATTTTTCTTGATTGTTTGCCTGAATTTGTTTCTGCATCAATTTCAAAATGATCTTTATTGCTGCAGATGCCTAAAGGAGAAAGCAAGAACCAAAATGAGCGCAACAGAAGTAAGAAGTTCCCAGCTGCCACAGTCTACTTGCAAGTGCTTGGATCAGGAGCTCCTGGAGCTCCCAGCTCCCTTTACGTCTCAGGTGGTCAGTGCTCGTAAGTGCTTTGGGTTGTCTTATTAAACATGGCGGTTACTCAAAGTGTCGCTACTTGCAGGTAATTTTTCTCATTCAAATCCTACTGGTCTGGAGGATTTGTTATATTCCTAAAGATTCCAAGTTTTCATTGCTATTTTCCTCAAATTTCTAAAGTGTTACTTGAACATAGTCTATGATCCTAACTGAATTTCTTAGTGGACTGAAACACTAGAGAAATTGTTCTAGTATATTAATAATATACTTGCTTTGAAGCATGAACTTAAATTATTATTGACTGAAAGCTAGTGCAGTATATACACTTCACTAAAAAAAATTTTTGCACTAAGGAAAAATTTATGAAAAGTGGATGACATAAAGTTAAAATAAAGTTAAAGTAGACAACAGCCCAACAATTTCACTTTGCATCCAGATGCTCAAAATATTTTTACTAATTTCACCAAATTAATGCCTATGATATAAATGACTGTAGGTACACATTGGTAAAATGAGACCATTTCCAGGACAGTTTAATAAGTTCTCCCCTTAGCAGCAGCTGGGTTACAACCACTGGAGTTATCATTCACAGCAAATGAGATGAGCTAATAGCTAGTTGTGTGAAGCAGGCTATAAGACGGCTTTTTGGCATTTTAGGGATTTTTGTGAATGCATGATATGCAAAAAAATATATATATATACGTGAGTAGTTCCAAAAAAACTTCAAATTGGATTTGAGATAATTTTTCAGGTGACACTAAAGTTTAGATAGAACCAACAAACCATATATTATTTAACCAACATGCAAAGATAACCTCAGTCCATATTTAGTGCAGTTGCTTAGCTGTTAGGCAAGCTGCCAGTCTGTTCAGCTGAAGGCCCAAGATTTCCAAAGTTAGACAATTGTCAACCAATGCTCATTTGTTGACTGATTTTATGTGATTAATAGATGGCATTATTTGTTATTAATTATGTCTTGGTTCTAATTTGTTTCACTGTCAATTTTGCAATTAAATAAATGACTAATTTATACTTTTCCATTTTATTATGACAATTTAAATGACAAATCTTGTATACACTTTTATTAACCACATTAATTGAATTCTTATTGAAAGCTTATTAATATTAATGTTTTTCTTGTATGCAGATATTTATTCAACTGTGGAGAAGGAAGTCAAAGGCTAGCTCATGAGCACAAGGTGAAGCTGGGTGGTCTGGAGAACGTCTTTGTCACACACAAGTCTTGGCGCAATGTCGGAGGACTGCCAGGGATGCTTTTAACTCTGCAAGATGCAGGCACAACACAAATGATGCTTCATGGACCTCCTGGAATAGTGAGTGTTTTTTAGACTTGAAAGTTGTTATTTCATGATTTTATTTCTCTCACTTCATGCAGTCTTCTTGAAAGCCTGGATCAAAGGTTTCAAATAGAAATCATCCGTTTTTTGAATTACATGAAAAATTCCTTTTTCTATCATGAAAATTTAGTTTATTTATTAGATGACATGACATGCACATTACAATATTTCAATATCATTAGCCATGGAATATCAACTGATCTATTTATAAAACCTCATTTTAAACACATAATTGCAGCATACACTGTACCGCGACACGCGAGTCTTCATGGCATTTGACAGTATGGACCTATTGTATCACAACCACGCCACAAACAATGGCAAATTTGGTGACCCAGATGATCCCATGACGATCCAAGCTGTGCCTATCCCCCCAGCCAACGAAAAGACTCCAAGCCCCACGCCTATGACTGCAGAGTTTGTGTTTTTTAATGGTAAGAGTGGCGTTTGGTTTATTCTTTAATAACTTGCATTATGGCAACAACTATGTCTCTGACCATCAGGTATTTCTGTGCTACCGAATTTAGTCAAAACAACCGTAATGATGAGACATAAAAAAATTAAATTTAGCTTACAAGAACAGAAATTTTCTCCAAAGAAATAATTGAGTCCCTGCATTTGTAGTATGTTTTTTTTTTTTGTGGCGCAAAATGGCTCAATTTGAAGTGTTGGTAATTGTGGTCAGTGAATAAACTTGAGTTATGTTCATATTTTTTTACTACTTTGCTAGCTGGAAGTGAAGCAACACGCGGCCACAAGCGCGACAGCTCGAGTCCTGATCTGCAAGAAACGGCAGTGAAGAGATCTAGAAGCGACGAGTTCACCTCCAACATTGCCATGATGTACATTGGCAAAGTCTCGCCTAAAGTAGGTATTTACGATTATTTTGCTCATCTCTCTTGCTACCGGCAAGTCTAAACGGAAACTGATACCTATTTATTACTCTGATTGACTTGTCTATTATAGAAATAAACATTATAATGGAACACATTATGACTACATTTTTGTGTCTGAATCAATTTAGATTGAATTAATAATTTATAAATACCAAGAAAGAGGGCACTCACATGTCAGCTAGCTCGTTAATCGCAGCCATCCTGAGTGTATTGCTTCTATATATAATTTTACAAAGCTCATGTTTAATTAAATTTAGAGCTATTGCTTATGTGACACTTCAAAGTTTTAAAAGAATTGATACGTTTTGTGTTATAAATTATTTAAAAGTTAGAACTATGTTAATATTTTTTACCCTAAAAACTAGTTCTCTTCTTGTATTTAATTTCTATACATAGTTTTATCTGATTAATTGTATTTAAACCAAATAGACGATATGACGTGCTGAGTTGAATTTCATAAATTGCACGCACACACACCGCGTGTTGCGTATGAACTCAATACCTATGTTTATATCTGCACGCAATACGAACTTGTAATAGTCTTCATTGACACTCACAGTGTAAAGATTTACTTGACGTAAAACATGCACGCGTGTGCTGTCCTTAACACGTTGACTACGATTGCTCCATCTTGTACTATTATTTCATTTTTTGTACTTTTTTTAAGCAGGGTTGCCAGACGGTCATTTTTTCCGGACAAATTCCGTGATTTAGTTTTTCTCAATTGCGTTGGCCGGCTAAAATTTATGATAGGGGTACTTCCTAATTAAATTTTAAATACTGCAAAAAAAATAAATAGAATTTTTATAGCGGAACCTACAAATAAACTAGTATACATTGAATTATCGGCCTTTTTTGGCCTTTTTTGTTCTCGGATTTGGCCGATTTTAGAGTAGTCAACGTGTTAAGTTTGTTAGACATTTCATTGAGTGTTCTATAATATTTACAGCTTGGCAAGCTGCGGCTGGAGTTGTGCGTGAAGGCTAAAGTGCCACCAGGGCCGCTGTACGGACAGCTCAAGGCGGGCCACGACGTAACGCTCGCTGACGGCTCCGTTGTCAAAGCTGCTGACGTTACTGATCCTGACGACCCTGGACCTGTATTTATTGGTCTGTGCTTTGTCCACTCATTATTTCAGTTTGCATCCTGAAAAATAGATAATGTATAATTGTTTTATGCATACACCATTCAAAATTTAAATATTTATTCCTTTTTATTCAATTGCTAGATTTTATAGGCTACCGCTATTGAGATTGAAGTTTTTTGACTTCTCATTGGGATTTTCAAAGTTGTACTTTACCTTGGAGGAGTTCATCCTATAGTCCAGAACTTAATTTATTTGATTCATTGGATGTTATTCTTTTATTCCAATATAACAGTAATGCGAATGTCACCTTTGTATTTATTTATATACTTTAAGAATTTGTGACAATTACGAATGTACGGTATTATTTTGAAACGAATATTTTTCCATTAAGTGGCATTTCAGTGAGCAATGTGGGTTTTGAGCTTTTTCAGAGCATTCAATTCAGTGAATAACGACTTTTTGGTCATATGATTGCATTTGCTTCAAATCGAGCAATCAATAAAGAAATTTAAATAAGCTTCAATGTGTAGTTTCATGATTTAACGAATTAGAAAAGAATGTATAAGTGTGTTTGTTCTAGTCGTGGAGGCGCCCACGCTGGCGCACCTCACCACTCTGACCGACCACCCGGCACTGCTGCCCTACAAGCTCCCCCACACTGATGACACTGCCCAGGTTGTCGTACACTTCACGCCATCCAGGTAACGAATGTTCTATTTTACGCTGGATTTCACGGCCGAGAGATGATATTGTTTACTTATAGGAAGAGACACTTCAGAGTGTTGTCTGTTGCGCGCTTATATAATTTTAAAACTTGATTTTTCATTATCTTAAATATTATTTTTATTGCCCTGATCACTAAGAGTTGGAAGCTTTCAGAAACTTACTTCTAGACCTCGGTGTAATGTATTACTATCAGAGAATTTATTAAAGAGTTTTGTCTTGAAATTCACAGGTAGGTAAATATTTTTTGTATAGATGCTTAGTGCGGCGTCTTGAATTACTGCCATCACATTTTGAGATATCAAATCACTTCAACAAAAAAAAAAAATAGAATTAAATGTGCGACAAATATTCTTCATAACCATTTCTCTGTTTATCCTACAGTGTTAAAAGAATATTTTTTCTCATACAGTATTGTAAACACCGTGGAGTACCAGAATTGGTTGTCCTCATTTGCATCTTCCACCCAACACATCTTCATCAACGATGGCAACTCTTGTACCGGTTCTTGTGCTGTCCACCGCAATCAGATGAAACTCCACCACATCCACCCCAGTATCTTCCCTGCTCTTGCCGACACCAGTATTCCATACGCAACGAAAAATTCCCAATCATCTCTAGAAGACAGAGTATCCGACAGCAACGGACTCAATACCGATAGTACAAACACTGCCCCTGCGGATCGTGAATGTGGTGGTGAGAACCAGCCATGGAGGGATATGAAAGCGGCCACTTTGCTGACGTATCACCTTCGCCCTAACTCAGGACTCTCGAGGTACATAGTTCAGATAAGCAGTCAATGTACATTGTATGATGATAGGCTTACCAGATTTTTGTGTGCCTGATTAAGGTTTCAAAATTTGTATACTTTGGTTGTTATTTTTCAGTAGAAATATCCCAAACAAATATATCCCATTCTTATCTTATACCTTAGCAATCTTTCGAATTTTTGGAGGCGTGGTTGACTGAACTGGAATTGGAGCTAATTGGGTTTTCAAATTTGCAAGAAATTTCAGTGGTGGATGGAGGACCATTTTAATTTACAAGAAGCCCGTTAGAGGTGTGTCCATGTGCTTGTGTGCACCTATCTTATGCAATATCTCCTATTGTTGCCTACTCTCTCCTTCCCCACATATCGTTCACTGTAATTTCCATGTTATTCTTATAAACATGCTGATTCTTATGTTCTGGTGAAGGATTTAACTGTTAGCTATTATTATGTAAGAAGCCTTCACCCTCTTCATTTTATCAGCTTCAACTGCCCGGTGATGGACCACGAGGCGGTCGAGCGGGAGATCGCCGACTCAGGATGTCTGGGCAGCGGCGCGGAACAGCTGCCGAAAGAGTATCCCGAAATTACATTTTTGGGCACAGGCTCTTCCATGCCCAACAAAACCAGGAACGTTTCTGGGATTTTAGTTGAATTGAGGTACGTTCTTAAAACATTCTAGGTCTATCAGTTTTTTTATAACGTTTAAAATTTTTTTCTTAACATTTTTTATCAGCATAATACCAGCAGAATTTAGTTTTCAGTATAACGTTTAAACACAAGAATAACATTATAAAAGATCACTTCCGATCTGTTAAAATTATGAACGTGACATTTGCAGTGCGGATAAATTCATGCTGTTGGACTGTGGCGAGGCGACGTACGGACAGCTGGTGCGGTTGGTGGGGGTGGCGGCGGCAGATGAGGTGCTCACGCGGCTGTGTGGTGTCTACATCAGCCATCATCACGCCGACCATCACATCGGCCTCATCACCGTGCTGCAGAGGAGGAGGCTCGCCCTGCAACTAAGAGAAATGCCTGTGTGTTTAGAAATTCGTAAAATCTGGTATTTCTCCTGCTGCGTTCCTGTTTTTGGTTCCTAACCTAATGCATTTTTCAGTTGCAATTTCTTCTGAAACATCGGGAATTTATAGTTTCTTCTAAAACATCGATTGTGAATATATCGGGTTATTGATTTACTTGGTCTCATGTTTGATTTATCTCTAATGGTAGATATCTGCTAAAATTTGGCCTGTAGAAACACGGCTGTGCTTTGGATTCAACGAAACATGATTCAAATATTCAGAGCTGGGCAGCGCTACTTTGGTATGTAGCGGCCGCTATCGCTACCGCTACATGCTCTAAATGTAACGGGCGCTACCGCTACTGCTACACCCACTAGATTGTAGCGAGCGCTACCGCTACAGTAAAATGTAGCGCCTTATGACCTTATGATGAGTTTAGGACGTCGTAGTCCAAGGTCACGCTGATGCGCCGCCTTCGTCGTCCTCCGTCTCCGAGTCGTCGTCGGATGTAACGTTGGACGTGTTCCGTCTATTTGCCCTCATTTGGGCCAGCTGATGCAAGATGCTGTTGCTTGTCACTTGCTGAGGGTAGTTTCCCATTACACTAGATTGTAGCGAGCGCTACCGCTACAGTAAAATGTAGCGCCGCTACAATGGCCAAAATTATTGGAAATCTCTAAATATTTATTGTTCTGCTATTTGGATTTACTCATCAACATTTAATGATAATAAAACATTTTCAAAACATATCAATGCAACTTTATTGCAATTAACCTAACCGAAATAGAACGGGTTAGATACAGTAAATAAAAGTTACTGTTATTTTTATGTTTTACCTTCCCTACATGGATGTCTACTTTAATCTACCAATCTCAAAAATTATCCACATATACATGTAAAAAATCTGTCTTTTATTTGTATATATATATGTGGATTATTTTTGAGATTGGTAGAGTAAAGTAGACATCCATGTAGGGAAGGTGAAACATAAAAATAACTGTGTAAAAATAACTGTGAGCAAACTGAAACATGAAAAAATGCCTGTAAGTGGTAACTGGTAACATCTAACATGTTGACACTAGTAACAGGCTGAGGTTGACAACATTACACCGAAATCTTTCGTACAGTTTTATTCTGCAATTTATATTATGTATGTATCATGCTGGTTTTTAAGTAATATTTAATACTAGTAAGTAAAATCTAAAGGCTTCATCTATAAATGTAGCGGTAGCGCTGTAGCGGCAAAACCTCGTATCGCTACTTAAATATGTAGCGTCGCTACTGCTAACGCTACTGAAAATGTAGCGGCCGCTACATGTAGCGCGCTACTGCCCACCTCTGCAAATATTGAATGCGGTGAGCATGAATTGTCATAATATTTTGTGGATTACTTTTCTATTATTTGTTCTTTATGACATAGAAACTATTGTTGGAGTGTTTTTGAATGCATGGCAAACTGTTGCATTATTGCAGGTGACGCCGCTACTGGTATTGGCTCCCTATACGTTGGAGTCTTACCTACGCTCATACCACGACCACTTCGAACCTATCGCATCGGACTATCGCTTGATCGTCAATCAAACCTTCATACCAGGGGCGGACAGGATGCCTCCAGACGAGCTAGCCTCAGTGCTGGATGTCTTAGGACTGTCTGCCCTCAAGACTTGTTATGTCGTGCACTGCAAGCAGTCTTTTGGCGTCGCCTTCACCACACTAGAGGGCAAGACGCTGGTGTACTCGGGCGACACTCGTCCTTGTGACGCGCTCGTTCACTTAGGTGAGCCTCTCTCTCTCTAGTCCTACTGATTTATATTTGAAATTATATTTCTCCGCTTTTATTCTTGGTGTTTTTTACAGATATTTTCTTCTCAAGTCTAGTTATATTGCAATTAAGTCTCAGATTCTGTTTATTATTTGTGTGTAATTTATTAAGCAAACGTGTTTCTTTTGATGGGCCACGAGCATGAAGTGTTTATGCTAGCAACCCACGCATGAGGGTTTTTGAAGGGACTCCTCTAGGAGGTTTTAGGAAACTTGTTTGGTTCCTGCACAAGAATGTGACTGGACTTGCTCGGCTATGGCATGAACTGAAAGTTAATATTTGTACATGGAATTGCAAACCTGTGATTTGAATTATTATTTTTCTGTTTCAATTTTTCATTGTTTCAATCATTTATTAGAATCAATATAGCAAATAAAGCAAATAAAGAAAGGTAATAGTACCAAGAAACCTTCTTGATCCAGCATTCACAATAGCAGAAGTGTTTTTCAATTTGGTACTGAAGTAAGATTTTTTTTTTTGTTGTCAGGCAAAGGCTGCGATGTGCTGATCCATGAGGCTACCCTCGAAGACTTTCTTGCTGGCGAAGCAATAAGCAAACGTCACAGCACGATCAGCGAAGCGCTCGGCATCGCGCGTAGTATGGAGGCGAAGCACGTGCTGCTCACGCACTTCTCTCAGCGCTACGCTAAGGCCCCCATGGCCACGCCTGAGTCTTGCGGCGACATTTCCAACGTCGCTTTTGCCTACGACTACATGAGGGTGGGTAACTGGAGGTGATAGTTCAGTGAGACTTGAGGTGATAGCTTAGGAAGACATGGGGTGATAGCTCAATGAGACTCGAGGTGATAGCTCAGTTAGACTTGATGTGATAGCTCAGTTAAACTTGATGTGATTGCTCAGTTAGACTTGAGGTGATAGCTCTGTTAGACATGAGGTGATAGCTCAGTAAAACTTGAGGTGATAGCTCAGTGAGACTTGAGGTGATAGCTCTGTTAGACTTGAGGTGATAGCTCTGTTAGACTTGAGGTGATAGCTCTGTTAGACTTGAGGTGATAGCTCTGTTAAACGTGATAGCTCAGGTAGACAGGGGGTGATAACTCTGTTAGGCTGGAAGTAATGGCTCATTTGGACTTCAGTTTTTGGCTGAATGAGACCTAACCTCGGTGACTCTTGAAGGAATGGCTCAGTATCCCCTATTATATATCAATATTATTAATATTATATTATTTTACTCATTATTCATTCTGTAGGGGAGCTCTAAACTCTTCGAATTGAAATGATTTAGGTGGAAATAAGATATTCTAGCGCAACTATACCCCATGAAAACTGCTGATTGAAATGATTTAGGTGGAAATAAGTTATTCTAGCGCAACTATACCCCATGAAAACTGCTGATTTGGATGGAAGGATTTAATAAGTTGATTTTGTCTCGAATCTTTTTTTAAAGAAACCTCAGGCTATATCTTACAATTCAGTTACGCAAAAGTTTATCGGGCTCGCAAGGATGACGTCACGGCAGCGAATCGCAAGATGCATTGTGGGATCAGCCGCCATATTTGTTGCATGGTCTAGCTTTCGCCTACGTTTTAAGACTACTGCGCTTATTTCTTTTTGAAGTTTTTGCTTGAAGATGGGAGGCTACTGCGCCGCTGTTGGATGCACCATTCGTTATCACGTCCATTTAAACAGAAAACTGGACAATAGAAAGTTTTCCTTTAGTTTACCAGCCGTGACTGCCGTGTATATCGTATCAGTTTACGTATCGTACTGATTTACGTATCGTATATCAGTTTAGCTGCTGTTGATATATATGATATACGATACTATATATTTTCCAGGGGGCGAAATCTGTTTCTTGCCACTAGATAAGCTACACAAGTAGGAATAAAAAGTAAAAATATTTACAGATCACATTACATTGTCATGATCCATGAACGTCACCTTGGCAGCAATGACAGTGTCTTTGCAGTTGAGTGGTTTTTGGGTGTATATCTCCTGCACCCATCCATCCACAAATTGCTTGAAAGCTTCAAGCGTCATGTATGCCCTGAATTCTTGCAAGGTGTATTGGCTGACACCAAATAGTTTAGTAAATCACCGCGTGAACCGGGAGGCAGGCTTGCAAAATCTGCACACCACTGCTTTGCCGGCATTTCATAGGGATCAACATCGTTAATGTCGAACAATTTTCTTAAAAACCGGTCTCTCGCTGAAGGAAAGAGTTTTTGACAATAACTCAATTGTTTCTGCTTTGATCTTTCTTCCTCCATTGCTACCAAGTACCAAAACATCCAAACGTGTAGGAACGAAAGAGTAAGTTAAGGCGCGAGTGTGCTACAAAGATGGCGGTGTGGTACGCGGCTTGCGTGGAAACGCGGGAGCGTGGCGAGCCCGATTCCTTTGTATCTACAATGCAATGGCATTATGCAGTTCCTCATTTTGACTTGTAATGTGCAGGTGGGACCGTCTGGGATACGTGTCGCGTCTGCCCTCTACCCAGAGTTTGTCAAGATGTTTGCAGAATACATTGAGGAAATGAAAGAAAAGACTGCCAAGAAAATATTACACAAAGAAAGGAAGCGGAACGTTCGGTTGGATTTGCAGCGGGCATCTTGAGGATAAGTGCTTAGTAGAATTTAACTTTCACGGTAACTTTCATGGTGACATATTTCTTGCGGCTAATCTTTGCAGTTGTAGTAAAATTTACTCAGCTTTGCGTGTGTGTACATTCACTATATATTAGGGAATACATTTGACTCCACTCTGATTGGAGTTGTCTTTGGTGTCAGTCATGTATTTCATTGCTTTTCACAAATTTACTCATTGCTCGTTTTAACTTATCTGGAAATGAATGTTTATTGCTTGTGATGGACGCGGGAACGGTTGCATCCCGTTTGTTTTTACTCGTTTTAAATGTAAACCATTATTACCAGCTAAAACATTTAACTGTTCCACAGCCTTTGTATTTGTGGCACTTCTTTGTGAACGTAAACGAGCATCATTGTGATATTATTGTTTAAGTAGCCGAGTTGTGAAATGGCCTTCCTGAGGTACAGTTGCTCCTATTGTTGATTTGTAATTAATTGCAATTGCAATGTTTTCATTGTTATTTTCCATTATTGCGTGCTGGCATCTATTTGTGATATAGTGAACATCCTGCGGTATTTCTCACACTTTCGATTACTTTCCGTAGCCGCATTAAAGTTAAGGCTCGCAGTCTAGAGACTGGCCGTGGACGATGTCTCTTTGACATCAATAGTTGACCTGCCTATCGATTCGATGCGAAACAAAGACAATGTGGATAGGAGCAGAGTGCGTTCCGAAGCAACCCAGCAGGGAATGCTGCTGCTATAGTTACGACCATATCAGGAATCAAGATCTTGAAGATCCATTTGAAATGAGCCACTGTGCTCCAAGTCTTCGGACGTATGCGTCGCACTAATCTCCGCTCCACATCCTGTACAAACAACGTGCTAACCTTCACTAAAATTTATTAAGAGCCACATCAAGGCTGGTAATAATTCAGGAGTCAGGACTGAGAATGACACAAGAATACAAAGGTGCTAAGCAGGAACGATGTAAAGGTGGGATGTTGAAACGTTTTTTTTTTTCAGAGGTTCGGATTGAAAATTAATTCCTATGAAAGGCCGTACAGCCTTTTTGGTACAAATGGTATATTTCACTCCAAATTTCCAACGTGTGAAATTATGAAATAAAATAAGTATTGGCATTAATTCACCGTCCATTTGATCTTGAATTAAAGCTTTTTACAAAACTTCTCGGATCAATTCATGTTTCGGTGAAGTAAAAAGTAGTTTTTTTTTGTAGTTATAGCTTCAATTGGAACAGTTACATTTAAAAATGGTACTTGATATCTAGTCTGAAAGTTGCAGGCTAAGTCTCCCCTCCCCCCTCAATGTAAAGAAACTCCGTACGTCGTCGCAGCAACCAATCGAAGAGCGACACGTTGAAGCGTCTTCGAGACTAACTTCCCCTGACAGTTGGTTTTTCGGGTTAGGAATTTTCACAGCAATGATAATTGAACAAGTTTGTGCTGTATAGATGTGAGCCTGTGAGGAATACATGTCCGTGGTATCACCGAATGGATCAAACTAAACGAAGCCAAAGATCATCCAGAGTTCGCCAGTTGAAAAAAGAATAAGTTTTGCTTTAACCTAACGGTGTCTCGTCTCGTGGTTGCTCACAGACTTCAAGCAGGAAGGGTAGGTAAACCAAAATTTATACTGGCATTAATTGCTCCGAGATTACAATCAAGATCACAGAAAATCGTAATTAATATATCAATGTGAACTATGCAACAGCCCTAATTAAGGCGCACGTAATTGCAATTCCTAACAACATCTTATGATATTAATGCTCTCGTGCTGAGTCTTGGAAGCGACCCAGCCACGTCCTGTATATCCACGTTGTGATCAGCACACACGTAAGGATGCATGTCGAGTAAATGTTCCCTCAGGCTGTCTTGTCTTCCGTGTTCCGTCTAAATACTTCGTACGTCGCTCACCCACATAACTGCTTGCGGCAACACCACATCTGTTTTGAATCTCTTGCGACCCCGAAGTGAGATTTAGATGGGTAACTTTGAATGTATGAGTTAGCCTCATGAATACGAAGTGATAAACTTACACTACTAGAGAACAATTGGACGATGTACAGAACGATCGTAAGTATAAAATGATGAACATGGCTTCATATGCCAAGAAGTCATTGCATGCTAAAAAATGTAATATCTTACAAATGATCTAAAGAGCAAGTTATTGCGCGAATCTCATACTCGTTTCTTTCAATGAGCAATGAAACTGCATCGCTACTAATTAGTTCAGCTAACTCCCTCTAGAGCTGCAGGCAGTGTTGCTCTGCGTCTAAAGGAGGTTGCTAGCGCCTGAGATGAGGACACCACGCGACACACAAAATTAAAGATAATTTGCACAGTGATTTTTCCTGAAGAATTTATTGCTTACAGGTAATTGCCATCAAATTTATAATAATGAAATAAATGAACAAATTTTCGAGAAATTCCAGACGGGCACAAACACACTCGTGGAGGCGACACTGCTTAGTCCACCCTGAGCACCTAGAACAGCTTATTCAAATTGTCCGCAACCTTGCCTTTCTAATTTAGCTTTGAACACCCTAAGTTTGAATGAACGGCAACTAATTGGGTGAGCAATATTTCGAAAATAAATGTTATGCTTTAAATGTATCAAGCAAACTATGAATTAATATTGTAGGGAGATAAAAAAAAGATGTCTCACTCCAGCAATCATGTCATGAGTTGAGGCATGCAAACAACGTAGCAATCGGCCATCACTGATCATTTCTTTTCTTTTTAAATTCACAAAGAACATTCATTGTAAGTAATAACTTGGATGGTTCAAAACTTCGATACTCGAAGTCAAGCGTGAATAAAACAAAGAGAATGTGCAGATTCATGAATAACAGCGTCGTTTCCTCGGAAAAAATTCATTGAACAATTTCCACGTGAAATTATAAGTTAGAGATCCGGTGAACTATTTAATTTGAGAATATCCGCGAGAGTGCAAGAATTGTGCTATTCTCGATAGGCAACAAAATACGGCAACATCTGTTCAGGCGTTGAGAATTACCCAGCCATGCAGATCATTTATCCGTATATCAAAAGTATTAATTACATGCCATCAAATTTTACTCATGAAAGTTTTTAAGAACTCGTTAAACTTCCAACATTATAATTTCGGTCCATAGTTCACCTGAGTGCGAACAAATTCTATATCATTTCCATTTATGAACACAAAATTGCGACTTATAATTGTATGTGATGCTAAGTGACAAAAAGCCATAATTAGTCAAATTTTAATTAGGCCGTTTAATGACATCGCAACTAAAAAATACTTATAAAGTAGTAAAGTTCCGCGCCGTGCTCATTATAAGCTCTTGTGCTCCAAAAAATATGTATATTTTGTTCCCTTACTGATAGGTGTGAAGATACTGGTCGAGCAAGATGCTGGAGAAAAAGTCGAGCAAGAGAAATACAAAGCGCCATATCTACAAAAAAACATCCGTTACATCATTATTAATCAGTGAAATCTTCGTATAAAAAGTTTTTCCAGCAATAAGTGTGCATTAAATTCCATCTATATTAAAAAATCTTTGTGATTACAATTATTCAACATTTAACAGATTCATCGAGAGGGCAGTATATGACTGGTCTTCCTACGACTCACGAGTAACTGTGTATGATGTCAGCTGAATGTTTCTCATGGCTTCTTCAAATCCCGACATACACCTTATCAGCCTTCATTCAATAATAACGATAGTTATTTCACAGTAACTATATTATTACAGATCTTTGTAACCACAACCTACGATGACTGCCATGGGTAAGAGGAAAGGCCTAAACATTGCTGACGTAACAGTACAGCGTAGAGCGGTCGGTTGGACCAGTCTCTAGCCCCTGCAAATTGCTGGTGCTATCAAGAGCCCTAGTGTCTCTAACATTGGAAACGTCAATTGAAGCTATAGGAAAATGATTTAGAGTACATGCGCTGCTATTTCGATTTCCATCACTATTAATTGCATCAGCAAGCGGTTGCTTATCGACATCTTGCAGGTAGCTAGGGCCACAAGCCGGACCCACGGACCCGTTCAAGAAGCAGGTCTTCTCGGCAGCGCATTTCCGGCACTCAGCGATGGTGATGCCGGTCTTTGAGTGCCGTATGCACATGCAAGGTTCATCTGCACAGCTGCTCAGTTTCTCGCGGATGCTCTCGCACAACTCAGACTCAGTATCCGAGTCTTCATTATCAGAAGAACGGAGCCCGCTGAGACCCGCGACCTTTTGTTCACTAAAGGCACCTGAGCTAGGACGTTTGCTGGAGGAAGAGTTTCGCGAGGCCTCGCTGTTTACTGGCTTGATGTGCGTGTGGTCGGAGTTCTCAGCTCTCAGGTACAAATGCTCCTCGACGGTGGCCTCCCCTTCGTTGTTGCAACGTTTTTGAAGAGAGGGGTTGACTAGAGGATCTAAATGAGATCATATGTTAGATTCTCTGAAAGTAATAAAGTGATATCGAGATATGCTCCACATATACAGGCATTAAATGAAAAAATTACCGGGAGCTAAATTCTTCCCTCGCTTGAGATAACATCAGTGCTCGGCAAACAATAAAAAAAATTCCAATGAAAACGTCCGAGGGATGTGTGATAAGTAATAACTTATCACACTTATTTATTCTGAGTGAAGAATTATAACTTATATTCTGAGTGAAGAATTATAACAAAAATGACAAACCAGCGACAATTTTATAGCAAACGTGTGAAATAACTCTCTAGCTTCTCATTTGACACCTAAAAATTGCGTTCGATTTGAGCAGAGCATGTGAAAAAGGCGTAGCATTGTGTAATTTTCCGTCGATCGACTTCATGATCTAGAATAAATACTTTGCCTTCTAGTAAAACTTGGAGAAGGAGACAGTCAATGAAAATTATTTTACTAATAACGAGTTTACCTTCAACTTTAGCTATTGCGGAGAAAATTCCCAAGCTAACATATTTTGACGAAAACTCTAACCAGTATGATATAGAACTACGGACATGTATATTCTACGTAAATACGAAAGCAAAAGACTGACCAGCTCTGGAAGCAATCCAGACGACATAGAAGAAGTGGAGAAGTGTGGTAATTGAAGCAACGACGCCCCAGACGAGGAACAGACGAACGCTGCCCGCCGTCGCAACTATCACGCCAGATGTCACCGAACACAGAGCATAACCTGCGCCCGTGAAATATTCTAACCGTACACAAATATCAAATGTATCACTCACTCGCTGAACTAGACAAAAATTTGTGAAATATATAGAATATATGAATATGAAATCACTCGCTGAATTAGACAAACGTTTGTGAAATATATAGAATATCTTATAATTAAAATATTATTCAAGAGAATTCCCTAACCGATCAACGCCAGAAAACAATAGAGCACAAACCACATATAGGTCTGAAAATCACGGACCGATGCTCTCGTAGCAGATGTTGGCGAGGCTCTGGACGGTGGTGGAGGCGCCCGGAGGTGCGAGCTGTCCGGCGTAGACGACGATGGCGCTGTAGCCGAGGCCGTAGCACGGGCCGTTCAGCACCTCCACCGCGACCGTGAGCCAAACATTGCCCCACGTCCCCACACACGTGATCAGGTACAGGCGGATGGCGTGCAGACCCAACACCAGGGTTGTCACGCGATCAGCACCTATTTTCTTCACCAACACGTCTGGCGAGGCAACAACAACAAGGGCTTTATGTTTAGACGTATTCGTGCACTGCCGATATAACATAACATAGTGATCTCGGCGCTGCAATGTAGGCCTGATGTGGCCTGTCGCCGATATGATCACGACTGATTCATAATACGGTGAGTAAGATCGAATCGAAACATAAATCTAAAGTGGCAATAACCCTAAATCGAATGGATACCAGAAAGGTTAAACGTGCACAGGTAAGCACATCCAGATTTATAGTTTTTACAAACGATTAAGCTTGATTTGAATATGAAGCATCACGTAGTACACTACAACTCGCGGCAATTAGATAAGAAGAAAAAAAGATCTTAATAAAATTGTCAGCTAGAAATTTATTTCAGTAATTTAAAATCGAGGCGAATTTACCTAAAATCGTTACTTCGTGTTAGACCGCGACAGTGATACTTTACACTTTGAATCAGGATGATATTTTGGCCAATTTCTAAACGTAAGACCATGCCGTAAAATGATAGAAGAACACTGTGTAAGCGTTCTTCAGAAAATGGCACTGGGTAAGTATACCGGTACTCCATTATTGCCGCTGAACACTCGAAACATGCATCACTGCATCGGCACCACAACTCACGAGAAAAGAACATGCAGGGAACCTCTGTGGCACACTGCACGAAGATGGTGATGCCTTGCAGGAACTTGATGTTTTGCACTGCAGCGCTGCCTGCTGCCATGTCCTCCTGTAGCCTGAGGGTCGAACGGTAACAAGCGCATATTAATATGCAGATTAAAAAGATTTATAATGAATTTTACACATAGCTAATATTTGCATATGGATAGCAAAAGCCAAATATCATCAAAAATAAATTTCAATTTGACACCATACAGAATATACATGAAAGTGCGCTTCGACTTATTTATTGCAAATAGATAATAAACGTTCAACAATGGTTCAATGAATACAATGGATAATTTTCAAGTTATATTAGTGAATGTGGCATCCATTCTTGATTGATAAAAACTCACACAAACAAAAAATTGAGTACGACTCCATCGAAACAACCGTTGAGGACGGAGAATAAAAGGAATAAGAAGAAGCGAGGTTCTTGAAGCAGCGGCCACACGGAGCTCCAAACGTTTCTTTCTGCATCCAGTTTGGGGACTTTGAGGTTGGAGGAAAGAACGACGTCCACACCCATGATTAGAAAGACTAGTAGGTAGGCTGGGGTGTAGTCCTTCAGTTCCGCGTAGCCAGACCACCAGTCCACAAGAAGACCACTCACAGGGCCCATTAGCCCCCAGCCCAAGGATCCCCAAGCTCTTTGAGAACCATAGTTACCAGAAGGGCCAATGGTCTCGATCGTTACAGCATCCGAAAATGAGTTGGCAGTGCAGAATGAGATCATACCGATCATCATGAGCGAAAAAAATGCCCAAAAGCCCATCTTAGTCCAAACTTCTACAGGTTGACATCCTAATCCTTCCTGCTGGCCTGCATTACATTTTACACTCACCCTACCAACAACGTCCAAGTTAAGAATATTTCTTGATGCTATTCGGTAAGGCAGTAAGCCTAATTCCGAAGATGAATAATTACTTGCAAGAGTTACTTGAAGATGATCTACGGTTCTACTTGGGTATTTTCTGGTTAATTGGCAGTCGACACCAGACACTAAATGGCATGATTCGCCAACTGGTAGATATAAGGTCAAGTCTGACCACGAAAAATTAGCAACATATTTTTCCATTCCTGGAATTTCACCCAATGATTCCCATTTGGATTGATTTCCTATTATCTCTTCATTAAATTTGCTATCGTCGGAAATTAAGGTCAACTTTTCACTCGAAGGCTTTCTATGAATTTTCTCGGCATCGGTAATGTTGTAGTTTGCTGGCAGTAACCAAGCCTTATCGAACGACGGTTCCAGTCCAAACGAAGGGACGAAACAAACACAACCTAGTGACAATCCACACATCAAAATTGAAGCTATGAAGATAATTCTCCTAGATCTCGGGAAAGTATCAGCGATGAGGGAAAGAATAGGCTTGGCGATCACAGTTCCGACCAGGACAACGGCAGCCATGAGGCCTTGTAAAATTATAGGCACGCCGAGCCCCAAGCCCAAGACCATCGAGAAGGGCAGCACCGGCACCATGCCTGCACGTGTCCAGGAGTTCATGTCACTCTTAAATCAGACTATCCATAACTTCGAAACGCTGCGTTTATTGATCTAACAAGAGATTTTTGTGTCATTACTCTGTAACACTTTTCATCAATGAATTAAATAAATTATTATATGCATATGAGGCACACTAACTTCAAAAATTGCAATATATTTAAATACGGATGATAAATGAGACCCTTCTGAAATAAAAATAACGCGATTAGCACCAATCTCAGGAAATTAAAAGCGTTCATAGTTTTACATAGTCATAGTGAACTCACCAGCAAAGAAGAAGAAGTAGTGAGCTTTAATGAGGACGGTGTCTCGATTGATCTTCATGATGAAAGTCGCTAATGTTTCTATTATAATGAGAGCTAAATATTTACAAGCTCGACTACAACAAATATATTAGACTGCACTCCAGTTCCAATTTTGGTGTTGTAGCAAGAGGAACCATTTGTTAGTGTAGAGGAGCGACAACGACCTGCTACTCCAGACCTCCATATCACGCGCTGCAGCTTCGTCTCCACTTAAATATTTCAATAATATTGAGAAGTCTAGGGGTATGCGTTACAGCCCTCCCGTCATCTGTAAACAAAAGCAGATAATTAATAACAGCAATGATTTGAATAACTGAAACGAGGTAGACTAATGCATATATTGATAATTTGACGAAACGGGCAGTCATTCGGAGCTGTCGATCCTTCACTGAATGATGACAGTGTTTAAACTTTAAAGAACGACTTCCAGCCAGCATCACAAAAGAACGAGAACTCAATCGGCAATACTTAAGCTTGCATGCAGTCTCTATTGAAGGCCGAGTAGTTTTTTTTATTCTTGCCGGTTTTTCCTCTTTTACCAGCTCTAAGAAAAATCCGATCGATGAAGGCTAACTATGAGAACACAATGAAAGGTCACCCTTCGTAGCATCAAGTGGAGAGCTCGGATAGCTTCAAAGGAATAGCGAACGCAGTTGCAGCGTTAAGTACAGCCTCATCTGCCGAGTAGATAGCATATCAAGAATACACATCAATCGTCACATGATAAATCCAAGTTCTAATTTATCTCGGCCACGAATAGCTCTAGGCAGCATTCTTAGCGTTTACGTCACCCATGTTGGCTTCTATGTCATTAAGAAAATTGCGGAGCAACGGAGAAGGGCAACAGCAACTCCTGCGACATGCGATCGGCCAGGTCTTATTCAATGAAAACAAACCTTACATTACCTGTAGACAGGATGATTACTTCAAAATTAAATACGAGTAGATACGCGTAGTAGATTTGATTGAAATTGAGACCTATTCACAATCATTGCATTTTATAAAAATAATCAAATTTTATTCATGGCAGTGCAAAAATATCCTCTTATTTCAATGTAATTAATTATTCATTTTGATAATAAAATTAAAATTAAATATAATTCACTGATATGGGGATAGGACATAACTTCAATTATTCATCAGCATATTTAAAGGAATTTTTCACGTTGCCGAATTTAGTCTAATAAAATATTTGATGTATTTTTATTATTATAAGAAATTATGTAGCATGATCATTGATGAATATTCCATCATAAGGTGCATCTCCGTATGTTATCCTATAGGTTTCATGTAAGCAAGTCGTTCGTTAACATAATAATATTTCAGTAGAAATTACGTATCGTAAGCGTGCACGTTGGATGTTCAACTGCAAATCAAAACACGTAAGCTTAATCATCATTTGCGTTTCATTCTTGCAAGTAAAACTTATGAGTATTTTTTGAAACATAATTAGCTAGATGAGACAAAAACCACTTCGAATTTTTAGTTCGAGCGAGTAAAACATTGCGAAAATTAAACTTAAAACTCCCTATTTGTCGAATGAATGCAGTAGAATTTATTCAGCAACAGCACAGCTAAGGCACGACAGATTCTAGGTACTGAATTATCATCACCGCTTCACAAATTACATGTTACTCGATGGCTCGAATATAAATGACCGCGTCGATGACAGTGTTGGTCGGTGCCTTTTTATTATGTTTACTGCGTTTCGCGGAATTTTTTTTTTAAACTACGAGTGCACAGAATACTCTTGCAACAAATCGTTTTGGGGAATACAATTGTAAAATTTATGAGCAGCGCAGTGCTTAGCTGAGTCGACATCCAACACTGGACAACGCTAGAGCTTGCTAACGTATGAGCACTCGAATGCTTGCGGCATTCAGAAACTGACGCGAGAAGAAAAAACCTGAAAATATGTCGAAATTGCGAATTATTTGTCGCCACATCCTCACCAATTATAATAAGAGTGGTATCCTAGAATTAATTATCAAGAAATTTCAGCGATAGCGATGAGCTACCAAAGTGTGGGCTGATGTCTTGAACGGTTCTGGAGACCCGAGTGAATACTGTTGAGTGAAGCTTATGTCTCATGTTTATCTCAACAGCTAAGACTGTAGCCTATTTCTTCAACGGCTCTATATACCCGAGTGTATGCTGTTGAGTGAAGCTTATGTCTCATGTTTATCTCAACAGCTAAGACTGCAGCCCATTTCTTCAACGGCTCTATATACTCGAGTGTATACTCATGAGTGAAGCTTATGTCTGTTTATTTCATTTATTTACGCATAGTTCCATCCCCCTCAAACACACCTTGGCATTGACAGCATAGCCTGCAAAGCATCACAATGGAGTTAGAACGTGCTAAAGATGTAATGAATCCATTTCATAAATTCCTAAATATTTCGCTCATGTCTAGGAATACAAAATTTATATGCTAAGCAACTGACAATTGAGTGCTCTTGAATGAGATTGATAAAGTTAGACGCTTAGGCATGGCACTGGTTTCTTTTTCGTAGTCAACTAAATGGCATAAATCCAAATTCACACTATTACGAATCTCACCAATGGATACCAAACATAATCAAGAAATCAAATACTAAAGATCTGACAACATGCAAGCTTTAAGTGACTCACTAATTAGTACGTTAAAATCACTTTAACTATTAATCAGTTCCCAGTTTCATTTGTAATAGAATACAGTTGGAGGCATTGAATCAGTGAAAGTTTTTATGAAAAGTAAAAAATTCTGCATACTTTCCATTCAGCTACACATACAGGTGTCTCTGCCTGCCTCAATTTTGTCCGCGGAGAACAGTTGTCTTGTCTCTGAGAGTCTATATATAGTACTATAGAATTACCTGTCGCGGAACAGCCAAGTTAATTTAAAAATAAACGTTTAAAAAATACTTTTTAAAAACAACACTTCTGAAGAATCCAGTGTCTTCAATGTTAAAGATGTACAATGAATTTCTCATTTTATTTTCGAAAATTAAAAAAATTATTTTTTTTTTAATTTTTTAATATATAAAATTTTTTTCAAAATTATTTACATTATCCTGTCAATTGATTCATGCACTGCCTCCGACTTCACACAAGTATGCGAAATTTCAGATCAATTGGACAGGTGGAAGTGTGTCAAATATCATTTATAAGATTTTTAGCTGACAAAATTATTTTGTCATTTTTTTAATATTAAAAAAAATTTTTGAATTCCAAAATTATTTATTCTGTCAATTGATTCATGCATTGTCTCCAACTTTACGCAAGTGTGCAAAATTTCAGATCGATTGGACAGGTAGAAGTGTGTCAAATATCGATTATAAGATTTGTGGCAGACAAACAAACAAACAAACAAACAACAAGAAGTGAAATTAAAGAGAAGTGTTGTAAAATGAGTTTAAATAATAATAATAAATGATCGATTCTAATGAAATTCCGAAAACAATATGAACGATCTTACAAATGGAAACTCAGTGCGATCAATTACAGCTGAATTTTGATGGAGGTAAGCTGTTCTCTTGAAACTTTTAGAATAAACTTTTTCTCAGGTTCAGCCTGCAACATCGATATGGAATCATATCTAGTCAGCCTTACGAACTTTTACCAAGTTCTAAACTAATGCTAAACTTAATAAATGTGAGTTCTGAATTTTTGAGAAGAAGTGAAATATTACTTCAATTTATTAACAATGACAAGGATTTTATTGGAAGAACTGAAAAAGAAACCTGAGGAAATAAAAATAAAACATTTTTATGCATCCACAAAGTTAGCGACCATTATTATCGATTGCACAAGTAGCAATTAGGAAATATCCTTTCAGAAAATGTGTTGTTAATTGAGGAAGTTTCGCAATCATTTGCTGGATGAATTCATTGCGTGTTGGGGCAGTTTGATGACCCGTTAGTATGGGGTGGACGATCGCAATTCCTAGAGCGCGATGAGGCAAGAACTTCCCATACGCATACTCTGCTGTTGGGGTGCAGCGAGCGAGCAGTTATATCACGTAATGCACGCGTGTTTACCGGGACTGAACGTGATGCTGAATAAAGAAGCGCACAAACTGCACAAACTTGACAAACGTACAGCAGCAATGACAATGTAAGAATATTGTATAAATTATAACATAACATAGTGATCTCGGCACTGCAGTGTAGGCCTGATGTGGTGTGGCCTGTCGCCGATTCCTTTCCTTTTCGTGCCTTGTTCACAGAAGATCTAAAATCGTGTCATTTGACCGGATCTTTTCACGACTGACGAAAGTTTTAAATAGCTACTCGACTTTCACCGGGTTTGATATGGTGCTAGGCATTTCAAATCTGAACATATATTTTTCCATAGCTTTATCTAGTCTGTTCTTGAACGCGTTCATACTTGGAGCGCCAACGATGTCATCGGGAAGGCTGTTCCACATGTCGGTGATTCGAAGCGAGAAGAAATTTTGTCGCGTGGAGAAGTTGCAGCGCAATTTTTTTAGCTTATAGCCGTGGCCCCTGGTGTTGGTTCTTGTTTCAAATTCTAGTAACCCTTCAGGGACCTTGTATAGACCATGAGTATACTTGTATACTTCAATGAGGTCCCCACGCAGACGTCGATANAGAATATTTGGGGTCTGTTTACCCCTAAAATGGGTTGGCTTGGTGATGTTCTGGATTAAAAATGAGTCTCGTACAGACTCCAAGAACAGGGATGCTGGGTGATTCTCATCTCTTGGAGAAGATTCATCCGCCCAGTCTATTTCTGGATGGTTAAAGTCACCAACGATCAACGTATGCGACCTGCTGAATGACATGCTCGGTAAAAGGCTGTTTAGTACTTTATTTTATCAGAGGAGCTGTTAGGTGATCTATAAATGACCCCTATGAGAAGGCTATCTTTGCCTTATGGAGTAAGTTCACACCACACTGATTCTCTAGCTGATTGATGCTCTGCAGATAACTTAACTTGCTGGGCCCCATAGGAGGTTCTAACCCACAGAGCTACACCTCTACTGCACTGCTCTTCATTCAAGTTATGAAAACAATCAAAACCTGGCAGCTGAAATTCAACAGGTACAATTTTCCCCCATGATTTTTAGGGAGTGTTTCTGTAATACAAATAATGTCTATACACTCGTTTGCGATCACAGTTAATAGTTCACTTTTTTTGTTGAAAACGGAATCCGAGTTTGTGTAAAAACATTTTAAAACTTTTTGTGCACTTTCAATTTGATTTATGCGGTTGCTTCTTACATTATTTACAGGTCTGGAACTGCGGACATGACTTCTACTGTTTACTTGTCTTCCAGCTACGCTAACTGATCTTGTGCGGCCGGTGTTGTCTTGACATTGCGAGAGTGGTTGACCTGATTTTCCGAGCTTTTCCGCCTGAATCTCTCCTGCCATTTCTTACATACAATAAAATTTATAATATTACTATTTTTTACTACGTAATCGCAATAAATAATAACCTGGTTCAACCTCATTATGAAGAAAGACGTTGAAAGTGGAATTTCACGAGCGAAATTTTCAAAAATATTAGTGGCCTGTGAGTGTTATCATGAATATTGGTTGAAGTATCGCCATAGCCATGAATTTCTGCTGTTCTCAATATTCGGTGCTTTGAAGTTTCATCAGTTTTTTGCCGAAAAATTGTCATTTTGGAAAATAAACAAATATTTATTTTTCCAATAAGCAGTGTACTTTATTCTTAAATGCTTCATGTTCTTATACAGCAACCGAGAACTAGTGCGAAGTAGGTATATGATAGCCATGGAGGTATCCAGAAGCCATGACCAGTGACCACTGCTCAGTGTGTCAATGCGATTGCTAGTCCTGTCACATCCACCACGCAAGAATGGCTCAGAAGACTACCAGCCTATGGCGTTACAATCGTCACCGAGTGCAGTAGATGTTCCATTACAGAAATTCTAAGAACTTCAGTGACGTCAGTGATCCTGCCGTGTTTCTTTTGATTGGAACGGTACTCGCTTTTTGATTGGAACTGTACCTCACTCTAGCATACGTTCATCTTTAACCATCAACACAACCACAAACAAAGATTTATTGTTTAGATTCCGTGCGCGATTGTTTTTGTTTAACAGGCGGTAAGACTGGCATGCTGTATGGTTTGCGATAGATTCAAGTGCGAACTATAAAATTACATAAGAACACGTTTTTATCATCAAAACGAGTAGAAATATATCATTTATAAATATGAATATATATATAGAGATGTGATTATATCATTCAGCTTCATTAGTCAGATAATTAGTAATAACATAAATGACAAATAGAGTTCATTTAGTTTCATATTTTTTCTCTAAAGATATAACAAACTGACAAGCGAAACTTTTAGACTTCAAAGGAATTTGGTCGAAGAAAAACAATATTATCTTGTCGGATAATATCTTCAGTGAGGATATCAACAGGGTCGGATGTGTACGTGTCCAACATTCACATCCTGCCACAGACGAGTGAGCTGCAGGCCATAACATTGTTTCACTGTCATGTCTTTTGAGCACGAATCGAGTTACAAAACTTATAACAATAAATACTAAGCAGTCAATCCTAGATATAAATTGTCTTGTTAAGGCATGTCGTTGGCAGAAACCTATGTATACATAAGGTAAAAACAAATGGATTAAAAAATGAAATAAAATAAATAAATGGATTCAAATCAAATATTCATGCGAGTCCAGCAAGAGGGATGTCGTGGTCGCCACTCGCCATGCAGACCAAGCGATAGGTACATGTCAGAGAACCTATAACGCTAGGTATTGTTCTAGCATAACGGCAGCATATGTTCCCCGCTGAACACCTAATCAAAACTAATTTATTCTTGATAATCAAATAATCCCTAGCCGGTGGATCGGCCACACTGTGCATCCTTATATTACTGGTCACCAAGGTCAGCTTACTTAGTTATACGTAATTTTGTCTTCTTTACATTTCTGGCCTCCAAGGTCAGCGGAATATGCTAAACGTAATTTTCCTCTTGTGGTTTATAAAAGAGTCCGTTTAGGAGCCCCAGCTTCCAACAACAATGGATGATCCGAGCCATCGCATAATAACAGCAGTGGAGTCTGTGTCTCAGGATATGCTCCCTAGGGTGGTATGTGAATTTGATCACAGCCTTGACATACCTTCGAACACCTTCATTCAACATTCCTTCACAGCCATTGCATACCTTAGAAAAAATATGAGAAAACTTTTTAAGCTTCCCATTCAGCCAAAAAATAGCATTTGAATATGTTCATTAGTGTTCGAAATATAGACGTGTCATGTCGGATGATTGTGATGGGAGAGACAAATTAAAGAGACGTACCAGTGATAAAAAATACGAATGAGGCCGACAGTTAGGTTAGGTATCATATATCTGCAAGATAATACCGTAGCAAAGATGCGGGCTCGTTCATAGCGAAGTTAATGGCAAACTGATTAAAACTGGCATGCAGGCAGTAAAATGAATATTCAGTATTGTTCATCAAATGGCTTCGGAAGAAATTTAAAGTTAGTGTTGAAGTTTAATATGTATGCCTATGCATCTGTCCAAGGAAAAAGAGTGAAACTGACGCCAACTGAGCCAATGAGCACGTTTTACCGTAAACCGTTCATTTATTACAGTAAGTTAATCGTATACTTGACAAATTATGCTCACAGCCAGGTAATGAGTATGACGAAGAAATGATAATATTGTGAAAATATCGTACATGGTTGTAATATTTTCTCTTCCTGCAGCTGCCGGCACCGTTCGCCCGCAACCATGTGGCCGCACAGAACAACTCGTCCGGATCCGTGGACAACGCACAGAAATCGATGCACTCAAGTACGCTGCATTGCATTATTTTGAAGAACCACTTATCTAAGAGAAATTGATCGCTAATATTAAACCATTTAATGAATAAATGAGTAATTTCAAATAGAGAGATTAATAAATATTATTTATGATTACCAAACACTCCCACACAATTGTACCAGTTCAGACAAAATACTGCAGAGGTCTAAACATAGCGTGGCGTAAATTTTGCAGAGAACGAAGTGCGGAAAAACAAAACAATAGGAATTGCAATACTTACTGCGCAACACACGGAGAAAAGACTACGAGTGACGCGTTGCAGTGAATGCACCTCGATGAACTTGAAACTAGCTCACTATCGGCAGTGGAGCACACTGCGTCCAAGGCAGCCAACTGATTACTACTCGCCGCCACAGCAGCTGATCAACTGCGGGAACTGCCGAGTGCCGACGAGCAAGACAGCAAGTTCGCTCCGGCTGCCGTCGTCTGCAAAGGCAAAGTGAATAAGAGGTGATGCAGACTTGCAGTAGCAGCACAACACAACTGCAAGTTTTCATAACTCGAGACAAAATATTTTGCTCTCAATTTCTTGTGTAAATTTTTTTCGTTGTGGTTTTGCGGCCTAACCTTAGAAGATGAATTTAAACTTAAACCAAAATCCCAGCAGAGAAAATTGACCAATTATTACTTCTGCCATGGGATGAAGCAGTGCAGAACATTATAAGAATATCAATCATTGACACCGCTCCGAAGCAGTTAGTTCTGGTAAAAATGTGTAATTATCGGATTTTTTCAGCGCTAAATATTTTCACTGTAAGTACTCTTTGTATGCGCATTTAACGTTATTTATGATTGTAGTTCATATTATGTTCTAGGTAGAATGACCCTTTTTGTAGCGCGTCAGTTTTTCAAACTTTTGTACAAGATAGTTTTGAATTCACCGTAATCATTCGTAAAAAAATAACTCAGNCGAACACAATAGTGCATTTTTTCCATAAATGAGAAAATGCGCTAAAAAGAGGCTTGAAATGTATTATATAGTCATTTTAACTTAATTTTTTGATAATTGAAATTTTTTATTACGCATGAAGAGAGTGTAGAGAGCTTCATTTAGTTCAATACGAACTGAACTTCATTCACAATATTCACGATCGGAGATTCAAGTAGAAATCGAAACAATTTCATACAGGATTTTCCTTGTAGGGTGAAAACGATTATCTTTATTTTTTACTTCGCTCCAAACTAGGTACTCGTACTGTAGTGGTTGAGATTAGTTGATGCTTGTGTACCTAAGATTATGCATGGTGGAGGCAAGAGGTGCAGTAGATAAAGAGTACAGCAGGATTATCTGTTAAACTGTACACAAGAGCTCGAAATCAAGCAAAAGAAGTTGTCGCACGCAGTGAAAAATTTTGGTAAAACTATTGCTAAAAATGCAAAAAAGAATCCTAAATTTGTCTTTTCGTATGCTAGTTAACAGAGTAAGACAAACTACGATATTTCTGATTTGAAAGTAGATCCTTGAAAGATATCCTCTGATGAGAGCAAGGCTAACCTTCTTAATAAGTTCATTAGCATCGTCTTCACATATGAAGATTTGAACAGTAATCCAGCTACTGAGGAGCGCCCAGTGGGCTTGAAGTTAAAAGGTCTAATAATACTCGTACAAGAATAAGTGGTTTTCAAGCTCCTGGCCTCTGAATACCAAGTCATGGAAACCAGACGGCTTCCACCCCAGATTACTCTAAGAATTAGCAACAGTCCTGACATGCCCTTTGACAATAATAAAAAATAGAAGCGAAATAAAACTTTAAAAAAAGTTCCTTCTAAACCAAAGTTCGAAGACCAGCCGATTGTAAAAAACTCAAGACTATTCATGATTTATACAAAATTCAAAAAAGATTAGCAGAATATGGAACAATAACTAACAACATAGGCGACGGTTATAAGCTAAAAAAAACTGTGGTGCAAGTCATCGCACGCGAATACATTTTTTCTGCCTTGAAGTTACCGACTTCAGCACTGCCGAGACAAAACTAATTGGTTGTCGCTCGACAGTTTCATTCTCTTTTTAATTTTTACACCGGCTTTTCGAAGGCGTTTAATATGAAATCAAATTAAGTACTCGGCAAAGGCTTTCACTGAGAAATAAGAGATGGGAGTGTGGGATTTGTTGTTCGTTTACACTAGGGTCATAATTTCTGTCCAGTGGATTTGCGTCAAGCTGCAAATTCGCGTATAATCCGGAAATATATCATATATATGTATATGTACGGCTCTTCATGTATGTAAGATATGCAAGGCTCTTCACACAGAGTTATGGATAATATCAACATATTTATTTGAAATGACAGTGAACCGCATGACATCAGCTGGAACCAATAGATAACGGTATTAAATAGATTGTTTGCATGTCAACACGCCGGCAGTTTGGTAAATGTGTATGCTTCTTCTTGGCCCAAATTCCAAAACATGCTGATAAGCTTTGGGTGGTCGGAGCTTCGACGCATGGGAAAGCTTCACTTCACCTTGACGAATTTACAGAGGAAATTTGGAACATTAAAGTTTGGAACATTTGGAACTTCTATGCTGTTATTATTCCCATAGCTATTTATTGCATTCGGCTAACAATAAAATTTCACCAGCCAGTACGTTCTGGAATTGTTTCTTAGAGGAACATTGCTATCAGTTTGTAATGTAGAACGGTTAAGAATTCGGAATCTTTAGAATGTAGAACAAAATTATTCATTGGACGCTTTTGTTTAAGTCGAAATTTTGGCCTAAAAGTATCAATATGGTACTAGAGAGAATAATCTCACTTCGTTTTTTCGAAGAGTGGCTTACGCTAAAAAGTAAAGCAGTGATAACACAAATGGATTTGCTTGGTTTTATAGAGCAAATAATACTAGCTTAATGTAATTCAACGAACAAAAAAATAATAATTCAGTTTGAATCTGCTGAATGATTTTGTTAAGTTAATGGGTGCAACTTCCCATGCGTCTTAAAAAGAACTGGCATACTTCTTTGTCAGTACGTTCTTCATCTGATCTTAGACGCAAATGGCCTTAAACCGAAATGTATTGAATTTTCAAGAAAGTAAGCTCTCAGGCAAAAAGTTTGAATTATAAGGTGATAAAGAGCTTGCACTAAAAACGTTAAGAATGCGATGTCTATTTGTTTTGAATTACACGAATATGAGACAAATGTATTTGTTTCGCTTTACTATACAAATAGCCAACATCATTCAGCTTATTTCACCTATCATCTTTCGAGCGGTTTAGTATTTATTGTCGACTTCTCTTGGCTGTAGCCCCTATTGACTGAAAATGGAATTTAATTTATTGCGGCATGATTTCAAAAGATGTTTTGCGTCTCATCATTACGAGGGATACGTTTTACGATGAATCAATCATTCATGAAGATGACCGGCGACAATAAAATTAAAATTTACAGTGGATTATATACCCTCAGCTTTTAACATCTTTTTGCCCCATTATTTGAAGACATATTTTACTATTGAAGTTTTAGCATCAACTTGAAATGATATTTAGTGACACAGTGACACTGCATTGCAGATGCTCAGTGAACAACACTCAGCAGCAGAAGTCGAAGGTTAAAGAAATTAAACGCGATAATGTTGAGCAGTATTCGCTGAACAAATTTATTTTCCTTCGTTCCGAAATAAAAAAAAACTGATAGGCAACTGCAATGGATGACTTGAAGAATCTTATCTATAGACTTTGTAATGGCCTTGTTCCATCAATCAAGCTCCAATTTATAAGTAATTTGAATGCTTAGTGGATCGTATTGGATTTTGGAAAACAATGAGTACTTCATAAGTATAAACTTTATTTAGTATGTCATAATGATGATCTAATCATTAATTGATGATATCGTCTTCGTTAGAAACATTCCGTCACAAAGTTGAACGCAATGATATCAAGGCTTGGAATTTTGGATGTATCTATTTAAAAATGATGCGATCCTTCTACTAGACATTAAATTAATTTGTCCACTATAGCAATATGCACTCATAAATTAGCTCGTGTGGCCAAGTGTTCAAGATCATCAACAATGGAGCAATGAAATGCGGTTTGAAATCCGCAGCAAGTTGTTACTTAAGGTCTAAATTGCGATTTGACCTGGTGTTAAAGAATGGCTAAATTGGAGCTTCGGGTTCAAAACCTATAGCTGGCTGGGTAAATTGTGTCCTAATGGTTAAGAATAGCGAGATTGGAGCAGTGAGTTATGGGTTCGAAATACAAAGTTAGTTATGAAAATATTGCAATTCGGAAAAATTCTGCGATTTCGAGAATAAGCGAAATGTTAGTAAACATTACCAAACAAAGGAATTTATTAGAAATAAAAGACCTAGCTAGAATATTATCGATCAAGTACTAAGTGAAGTTCTCAGTTGCCGAATATGTCGACAGGAACGCCAGTATTATTGGTCGTAATTTTGTACAGAGGCTTTTTGACAGGTATTCTTTTTTCTTGTAAGATACATCCGATGCTGGATCTCTAGCGACTGAAATTTTATCTAAAGTTTGTACCTGAAGCAAGATTCGTTAGATTTTTTGGAAGCAGATATTAATTCCATCGGAATTTCGTAGCTTGCTATTAGTGATTGCTGGTTACTTACTGCGGCCAATGTTTCGATAGAAATGTTAATGGGAGGGAATCGTGAAGCAAATTTCTTGGGAAAGTTTAATTCATGTTGCTTATGATTATTTTGAGCAGGGTAGCCCAGTGGTTATAGTTCAGTGTACCAAGATTGGCGCAGAGAGGCGCGGGTTCGATCCCAGCTCTGTGCGCCAGTTTCTGGTCAGAATCGGCAAGGAGGCCGGGCGGTTAAGCACAGCAGAATTGAATCAGTGAGTTGTGTGTTCGAGACCGCAACAAGCTGTGGATGTCCTGCGATGTGAAGAATCGGCGACAGGCCGATTCTATTATTATTTATATTATTTATTTTCTCTTTGTATTTGTTGACACAGAATAAAACTTACTTATGAATGAATGTTCATGAGTAAATAAACTATAGTTGAATGTTATTATGATGATCTAATCACTAGCTGATAAGATTACCTTGGGTGGAATAGTCTTACGCTAATACGTCGAACGCAATGATTTCAAGTGTTGGGATGACATTACAAAGTCAACTCAAGTGATGACATGACTTTGACATGTGATAAAGACATGTTTAATGACAAAGCTTTGTCATATTATGGAAATCATACCGTCAATGCCGATAAACTCGTTACAGGACTACTTATTAATTCGCCGGCTTTAGTGCAGTATATGTTTAGCGGCGAGTTTAGTGCAGTATATGTTGAGTGGCGACTTTTGTGGCATCGACGGTAGAGTTCAACCTAATGAATGAAAAATTCATGTCATTCAAAAGTTTATCTTAAATAAGATCCTTAAGCTGTACCACAAAAATTTAGTCTCAAGTTACCCCTCGTATGGCTCAGAATTTTTTATTGAGAATTGAAGTCACTTGGGAAAAAAATGAGTGAAGTAATAAAAAAGTAACTCTTGCTTAAAATTTATAAGTCAGCGAAACATATTTCTAGCAGTCATAAAGTAAACTGTAAAGTGAAAAAAATGTTCACTTCGGCAGCCTTAATCCCAAAATTTTAGACCGGTATAGGGACGGCTGTCGTTATAAAAATAAAAGTAAAACTTCTGTCGGTCGATTAAATGATCGGAGTTTCCTGCCTACGCAATTTCCAGCCAGAAATATAGTATCTCATTTTGTCCGCTAATGAGAAGTTGTCGCCGATCTTCGGTTGCTTGCACCGCGTTGTGGTTGCCGCGGTGCTCGCCTCGCACTAGCTGGCGCTGCGCACTACCGCGTCTTGCATTTCATGTACGATCAAGTAATATGTATATCATGTAATAGTGTTAACTCGTTGACATAAACAACATGCTCGTTGTTGACAATATTATTAGCTCGTTGACATAAACAACATGAGTGGACTGTCGCTTAAATTATTTTTATAAAGATCCTATTTATCAATCACGAATAATAATATTTTTTCTGACATGAAGTTCTAAATGAAACGGAACTAGCAATTAGAAACTCTGGTTACAAATTAAATATTCATGTATGTATGAGTGAATAATGAGGTCATAATAATAATAAATGAACAATGAATATATGAAATTATGTCAGGCTCACGTTTTTTTATAACCGGTTCCAGAAAAAGGATTAAGTAAAAATTTGAGTCTGTTTAATTTGATTTTTGTTTTTTGTTGCATTTGATTTTTTCCTGCGAGCTTAATGCAGGTCATGAAATTTCTGTGTTTGAATACTTAATGAATTAATGCTACTCTTGGAGTGAATAGGACAACGTTCCCTTCCTTTACAAATATCGGATACAACCAGTAAAGAACTCCAAATCGGTAGGAAAGCTTGGTTACTAGCGTGAAAGAGTTGTGATCTGGAGGTCAGAGCCGAGGTCAGGTCAACTAATAGGAGCGCCTTTAGTTTAGCTCTGCCCACGGTGCAGGCTGGTTGTGACGTCGCGGTGTCTCTCGGTTTTCTGTCATCACGCGACGCTCATCGTTTGTGCTATCTAGACCCCTTGTGATCTGTCAAATAGTCCAGAAGGTGGCAGGCCACTCAAAACATTTCTTTCTTGACGTTTCCAATTATATCTCATGCTAACATAGGACCACTCTTATATAAGAAGGAACAGCGCAAAAAATCGTTGCCTTAGACGAAGAATACATTCTCAGCTTTGCATAAAACGGATAAGCGTCGGGAGTTCCAATCGAGAATATTTGTCCATCCCGCGCCTCCTATACTTGGTCATCGGTCGGGACTCCGCACCCTGACAAGGTGATGGTCAGCATGTATTTCCTGTATGAGCTACACTCTCTAATGCACAACGAACCTCCTGATTGGCCTAATTATAAACGTGTGCATGATTGGCTGATTTTGAACAGTTTTTGTTTATTTAAAATCAATATTAATGCGTCGGTTAGAAAAGATTTTTCTAGAGTTGAACTATATGAATAAATTTGTTGAGACAGCTGGAGTCAGTCTCTTGAGTCAGAGCGTAGGACGAGATACGTCTCAGTCAACTATAAACGCCCCCGTTGAGGTGAACTGAATAATTAACAAATGGAAGAAGCATCTGCAGACATTCCCTTGAAATGCTGAATTATTCATTAGAGTAAATCATTACTATAAACGAGACATTGGTGGGGTATAGCAGGTGGTAGGCTTGCGAACACATAAACGATGCAATTACAGAATCTCGTTAATGTTAAAACCTTCATCCCTAAACAAGTGAATAATAATAATAATGAATAATAATGAAGTTAGTTATGCTAATCGAAAGAAAAAACACTTCAAACTCCCATCTTACATATAGAACCTAAAATTCCCCGCTGAGTCGTTTCAAAATAGATCAAACTACCACTTCATGTTCTCTAAATTACATTTTCTCATTTATGGAAAAAAGTCGCTATTGTGCTCGTCATGTACGTCTGTCTGTCCGTGACTTCACGTTTTCGTCGACGTGAAAATGCGCTCTCTAGCTGTCACTCACTGCAGTGAATACTGAGTTATATTTTTCTAACTTGCAATTCACCCACTAAGAGTAAATTTCCAGGTCCAGGTATAATATCCCGACGCTATAAGCATCGTAATTATGCGCCCGAACTGCCCTTATATTATCATGCATATGCGATGTCAAACAAACTGTAACTAAACAAAACCGCATGTTAGTTTGTTTGTTGTAACTTTTAGTTACACTTACACTTACAAACTTTTAGTTACAGTTTGTTTGTTACACAAACTGTAACTAAAAATAATGAAAGTTAATATCGTGTCCGCGCACCTCAGGTTAGCGAGAAGAGAAGCGATGGCGAGCTACCGCCTGCTGGAGCTGGTTGCCGTCACTGCGGCTCTGCTAGGTGAGTTTATATATTATAAGTCAAAGTTTAATTGCTATTAGTACTGATTTTTAAAATAATAATAGATAATAAATTTAATAATAATGATTTTATTATTTATAGTTAAGAAATACGGTAATACATATAATATTAATAATAAATATTCGAAATGAAATCGATTGAAAGCTCGGAAAATCGGCGATGAGAATAAAAGTATTATTTGTTTGAATCCTTTGGAAGCACTGCTCGACAAATAAACGAATTCAAGGTTACAACACTACGATGCATTTAATACTCCACTCCTATTGTTTAACAAATGCGTTACTGTTCAAAAACGTTACCAATAATCGTATTAGTATCTCGGTAAATGATCAGTAAATACATTTTCGTGCTTATTTAAGAATTACGACGACTTCATTAAAATGCATATTGCTTGCAAAACAAGCCTGCGTGATCATAAAAAGTTGAGGTTTCTTACAAGTTGCAGTTGAAACAATCCCACAAAATCAAGCCCCTGTAGCGCACGTCGTATCAGGCGAAGCTTATTTTCATCGGGCGATGCCGGCTTCGCAAAACTCTTCACAGCGCCAGTAATTAGCCTGAAAATCAGCTTAAAAATGATGTTAAATTAAACGCTGTTATCACGGAAATGTATTCCATTAACGAATCGCAACGCAAAGAAACGCTTTAATATGCAACGACTTGAATTTAGCGTTGCTCTGCTGTAAATAAAAATCCAATTTCATTTTACGTCCAACTGAAAATACATAGGAATCTCGGCGAGCGCATTTTTAAACTGGGCATAGGAGTGAGCAGACAAATAAATAACAATGAGTTCCATTAGGCTGCTAGTTATTTATTATACTTATAAACATAATGCTGCTATATATACAGCAATTTAAAATATTACGGGAAGTAATGTGAAAAATTCGAGGGTATGATGTAGTTAAAATATAGTAGAACATCATGGTCATTTTCCGCGGAGTTTTAAGGAATTTATTTAATAGCCCAAAGAAAATCGAAAAGAAATTGAAAAAGAGTGCAGGTAAAAATAATTCAAGACCACCACACGAGTTTGAATCAAGAATAATTGCGCAAAAAATGAAGTTTAATTTCGGATTTGGGGGAGCCGCGAATTTACTAATAGACTGAATTAATAAATAGAATTAGGTTATCCTATCCAATAAAATAATATACTTCAACAGGTTCTGTTAGTACAAAAACATATGCTTATGTTTGATTTTATTCACGGTTGATATTCGGGTAACGTTAATTTATTATTGCATGAATAGAATGTAACCTTTCAGTTAAGCCTTCCTACTGAAATGTCTCATCTGTTCTCAGTCTTTTACGATAAAAAAATTTGTGACTATAACTCGTAATAATACTAAATAACTTTTCTTTTATAAATTAACAGAAAGTTTAAGTCAAACTTCGAAATATTTGAAAATGGGCTTCAGACTAAAACGCGTAACAATAACTTTGCTTTTATAAATTAACACAAAGTTTAAATCAAACTTCGAATTATTTGAAGATAGGCTACAAGGAGGTTCAACGCTTCAAAGTTCATAAATTCACTTCCGCCTGCACAGCTGGCAATGTATTCAATGCTGGTTCAGTGTTAGCGAGAGGGTATGTTGAGGGTAACTTCCAGGACGACTGTTAATTGTCAAGCTGCTCTCGATAACTGCGTGTGAAATAGGCGTTTGTATAGGGATTTCTTGTTTGAAATAGGGATTTATATATGAACAATCGTCTGCCAAACTCAAGAGAACATTTTCATTTTGAATGTTTTCGACAGTTTTTATGTTTTATTTGGACCATTTTTATCTCTTTGATTAAACAATGGTTCTTCCTCTCAGATCTGAGGAGTGCCACTCGTTTCATTTAAACATTCAGTGAAAAAAACCTGAATGAATTTAGTCGATGCCACCGCAAATTATCAGTTTCCTTAGTACCACTCCTAGACACTTTCATGTTAGTAGCTAATTTTTTTATCTTATTTGTTATCTTGCAAAGTTTTTCTTTCATGAATGCAAGCATTGAATTATTTTTAAAGCCTTACTTCCTAATGTTAGCGTAGTGGGTGACTTTTTTAGTATGGAAAATAATGTAGGTGCTGTTTCATGGAGGGTCGGCAACCATTTCTCACTTTCCTATTTCTTTCTATTTTAAACACTCCCAATACCTATATGATCTTGCCATGAAGTACTTGAACGGTGGCTCAAAATAACTCATGTAATACTACACTTTCACAAACAACTGTTATGAGCAAGCTCTTATACACTTGCGGGGAATCATTACTCTGTTTCTGAATTCACGAAAATCTTCCGAAGCTGCAGAGTGCAAATTTTCATTTTTTGGTAATGTAATATATTTTTCTACACATCTTGATTGTTGATACTCCAAAGATTACGACAGTTTCTCCACGTCACCGGCATCCGAGGTGCAATTGCTCATACTGGTAGGTTCTCGCGTTCACCTCGTCAGTCGATTCAGATCTACAATTTGGTGCGATGGATCATTCTTAAAGATTTTCCTTATACGACACTCCAGTAAACGCAAGAATTCGGCTACCTCGGTCATGCTAAAGTGAGAGCATTCCATTCACAAACACCAATTGGTCCTTTTTTAGATAGGAACACTGTGGAACATATTTTGTTTGTTTTTTGTTTGAAAGTTCATTTTTCCCTTATTTTGGACTTTCTGCAGCTGGGATATTGCTGTTTTGGATAAGGTTTATAGAGTTAGTAAGGGATAAACGAGAGACGATCTAATATAGGTGAGGTTCTTCTCCGAAGATTGTCTCCTCCAATCCGGCAATAACATAATCCATGAAAAAACAGTTTATTCTAGAAATAAACGTGTCCAGGGAAATACGTACTTATTGGTGATAAGAAGTTTTTCTTTTCTGCCGAATCTACTGATTGTTTCCTATATTACCGTGTCATAAACAAGAATTCGTTTTCGCCATAGGATGCTTCAAGACTGTTTAGACCATATATAAAGTTGTCGCGCGCGTCTCATCAATAAGACATAGAATCAGTGCCACCCGCTGCTATTAATGGGTTCAAGTTATTTACGAGCAATTCTCGGCTTTCGCAAGCAGGCCGCAATGCATGATTGTAAGTCAGGCCTGATTGCCGCGACGTAATAAAACATTAACCATTTGTTTTTAATATATGGAGCTAAATTTTTCTTTATTAATTTTAAGCTTCAGTAGGTAAAATGTGAAACTATTGAAGCACAGATAAAGCATTTACATGACTATGCGATTGAAGTAACTGAAAGTAAATAATGAAATGATATAAGGAAAAAATTCACAGCTATTAAATTGAAATCACTCGATAAACACACACAAAGCGCAGTAGAAACAATGCAACACAGTAACGCAATCATAGGTTCACTTAAGTTTGCTATGTTTTACATTTTTTATTTTGCCTTTTTTACAGCTCAATGATTAATAACGACACAGTTTTTAATTTAACATTTCAACGAATTGACACAAATTCATATCCTTTGGTTGAACATATACCGATCTTCACAGGCTATACAAGGTCTTTTACATGCGTTAGAAACTTAGATCTTTTAAGTCCTGGATGATATATGAGATTCTGTATATATGAGGACCTCACTGCGTCCACGGTGTGCACCTTGAAGATCTGAATAATTTTGTGCAGCCTGTTGCGAGCCTTAGGCCCAATATGCTCATAAAAAGCCTATTGGATTTATTGACATGTGAGTTAGACAGTCATAACTCATTTCTTCTGTTAGAATAATTTTCGCGAAACCGTACGTCTTCCATTTACAAGTCGGCGGCCTTAAGGCGCCCCTGTGTCGGCGGGAGTCCAGTCTTGCTCGAAGGCCGACTTGTTTCCAGACGCATTTATCCTCGTCAATGGAACGACTTTTGTGAACAAAAAGTTATGATAAATATGGTGTTCACATTGACTGTGTTGGCGAAGAAGTGGGTGAGGATGTCGGCTTCGAGTAATAATAATGTTCGATGTAATTTGCCAGTCAACGTGCTCAAGGCTTAGAAAGTTAAAATATTTGATGGAGTACTCCTAATTCCAATGTTTATAGCAGGACAGTCTTTTGAACTGAATAGTAATTTTAATTTGAATTGCAATTAATATATATGTAGAGGAATAAAATCAAATACTTAGCGATTTCAAAAATTTTTAGTAACAAGTCGTCAGTCACGTGACTATAGACGTTATGATTAATTATATGCTTATGATTAGTAATGACAATTAATAACCTTGTTTGATCCCATCGATGATTTTGACTTTTCCAAAGTGTGAAGGAGCTGTGCTTATGCTGTAGAAGAACGACTATACATAGCCCTTAGGCAACTTTTTTTACATATATCGAGGGTAGATGCGTTGCTTGACGACAGTTTCCTATCCGCGAGTAAGTGGTATCAGAGACCATAGTGGCAGATGAAAGAATTTTTCAGAAATCAGTTCATTTTTAATTCACTGAACTAGTTCAAAATTTATTCAATATCTATGTGTGATAATATATATAATGTTAGTGTCCATAATGTTTCGTTGGGCTTCTTATAAGCCTCGAAACACGGAACTTAGGGAAAAGTCGTAAAAAGTCTGTGCTCTGCCACTATAATGTCTTATACTTGCGTATTCTACACCATAGCCCGTCTTCCACCATGCAGGCGGTGTGAGGGGCGACGGCGGTAAAACGGAGCCGGAGTTCGGCGAACAAATTCACAACGTGACCGTCATTGCCGGACGAGACGCGGTCCTGTCCTGCTCCGTGGACGGCCTGGGCGGATACAGGGTCAGTGATAGATTTATTCCTTTTTCTTATAATATAATAACAGCAATAAGCATAATAATAACAACATTACTTCTGTTATGTTGCTGTTGGCTAAACCTTGTCGAGCCTTAATTAAAGCTGGTCTCGAACAAGTATTAAAAATTATGAAAGATTCATTGATAAATTTCAATAAATAGATATGGCATTATTTTCTTTAAACGTGACTATACAACACTCCTACTGCCATCGATGTTACCAAAAAGCCGCTTCATATTCTTAAAATTTTTAGGCTTGTGGGAAGACCTTTGCGAAGCAGAAGTAAATAAATTAGAGTGACTTTACGTCTCCGAGTTTAGGTACGTTTTGTTTTAGAGCGCAGGGGATAAAGAGGACGTTTGGTCGTGCTCTAAATTATCCTGCTTGTGATAATAAAATTATACTGTGATTTTATTGTACCAATAGTATCGGTAGACAAAATCATCAATTAGTCAATCGGAAGCTTGCATTTTAATCACGGAACTCTTTAAAACGGAGATGTCATCACACGGCCTGGCATTAGAATTAGAGCGGCAGTTGAGTGACGGATCAGACAAAAAGATATTGGTGCTTACAAAGGCTAAACTAGTCTTATCACAGGTTTTCACTTTCACTACTTTGGCAAATAAATAATCATTGAGTCAAACTTGATAAATAAATTGGAAAAGGCAGTAAGTAACTGTAATAATAATTTCTCGCTACCCCCGAAACTCGTCAAGATCTCATCAGTTCGTGTAACAAGACGCATAGCCACAAAATACATTTACCAATCTGAATTAATATGTATTACAACAGGGTATTTCAAAATTATTTTCGAAAGTCATCAAATTACAAATAGATCAATTGCATATTTCTTGGCTGCATTCTAATAATGACTTAAAATTCTTGAAGCCAAATAAAGCGTGACCTGACTGATAAAAACAATATTCCATGCGAAAAAATATTTTAATCAAGCCGTCTTCCGTCACGCGGATATCATTCACAGTTAGCCTTACTTTCTGCCAGGATTGTTACCACTTTAACAGCTGGAAGGTTTACTAGGTTGTAAAAAACGGTTGTAAAAAACGTTGTAAAAAGGTTGTAAAACGTTGTTGAAGGTTGTAAAAAACGCTATCGAAAAATATTCGCAAGGCATAGATATATATAAGATTTTTGCATTCGAAACGTCGATTACGTTGCAGTTTCAAGAAAATTATGACGTCGGTATCTCGATTGATATCATTAAAGCTTGCTGACGCTACAACGTTTAGGAGTATTAATTAGAATCGAGAAGTTACGATTGATTCTAAAAGGTCGTTATTAAATTTCAACACTTTTCAGAGAGAGTCCTCTCCGTCAACCCTTTTTTAAATAAATTATTTTCAACAATTTCTTGCACGTGCACAAGGATTCAAATTATCTAAATACCTAGGAAAATTATTATGAAATAATCGCATCATTATATACATTTCTTGCAGAGCGTGAAATATTTGATAATTGATCGTGAATAGGCGTAAGAAGGCTGTATACTCTCCCATGCACTAACCACTCATCCATATTCTGAATGACAATCTTCAGGAATGACTCATTAATCAAATTTAATCATTTAAATTAAAAGAGAAATTTCCTTTATAAGTCAAGGCAGCGACCGAAAAACATGTCTCTCCAGTCGTCGCAAAAATGTCGGTAACTTTAATTAAAGTTTCCAGCCATTATTTGTCCCTTCGCAAAAAACCGACCAATCTGACGCAACTTTATCTCCTAATTCGCTGTTGAAAAACCATTGAGGATGCTATTATGTCCCTTAAAGGTGCGACAAGCGGGACGAAGAAAATATAAAAAGCGATTTTTACGCATCGGACTGGCGACACTAGTTGGTGGGATACGCAAGGCCATAGATGGCATCAAAATGATTGCGAGTTTGTCTGATAGCGAGTTCACATTCCCGATAGAATATTGAAATTATAATGCAATTTTAACAATCATTTATTACAACCGAGGACATTATATCCCAACCAATTGACAAAAAGATAGATTACTAACCAAAAAAATTTCAAAAATCACCACAAAGAAAATATAGCGTTAGACGATGGTTAGTCATAGCGGTAGATAAGTCACCCCTTCCATTATATCTCTGGTATTCAGTTATTGTGTTAGCTCCTTCTCTTTTGTGTTCGTCGACGGCCGTACAAGCGGCGCGCAAATAACAATAAACTGACAACTACTAAAGTCGCCAGTTTATGCTAAACTAACTCGCCTGGCAAAGTTTCGTGGCAAGATTAAATTATTTGCAGCGAGGTGGCGCAGCCGAGCATTTAATTCAAATTCCTGGCCAAATGAAGGAAAGTTACAGAAGTTTTGAATTTCGTATTTCGTTCAATTCAAAAATATGTTAATTGACCAACGGAAACCATCTACACAAGCCGCTCGCCTGTAGCGCACATATACATCAAACAGAACATTTACTCGCCTGTAGCTTATAAACTAACATTGATTAGATCCAATACCACATACTGGGGAATAATATGTTTAATAATTAGTGCTCAGCAAATTACTGGGATCAACAAGTGGTACTCAATTACAAAAAAAGTTGAGAACCACTGAGCCGGGGAAATAAAATTATTTTTAAAATATATTAAAATAGAAAACTTTTAAATTACAATAACAATGCCACTTTGGACAGTCTTTAGTAAAGAGCGAAACTCACTGAAACATTTAAATGAAATAAATGATTTGTTTTTTGTTTTCCTAATGAGAATTCAGTCTTGCCATCAATTCGTTATAAATTCTCCTAATTCATGAACTCAGATCATGAATTAGGCCTGTTTACAACTTATATAATTATTAGTTCTCCTGTACTGCATTTTACTGCTGAATGTGCAAATAAATATAATTAGAAAAATTTCATAAACTTCATTTGATTAAGCATTTTTGTAACACGATCTCAGAACATATTTATTCATTGAACGGGAAGTCAAGTATTTATTGCATCACTTCATATTTTTCACGATTACTATATTACTTCGGTTTCTAACAAAATTGTTTAATATGCAGTCGTAATTTATAATTTTTGGATGTCATTTAACCATACAAATAAGCAGTTCGACAACACTTATGATGTAGGTTATCAACAAGAGTATGCAAATACACAACCAAATTAAATTACGTACGTTGCTTAGTAGCGCGTACATAACAATGCGGTCAAAATAATTAGCAGTCTAACTTCCATTTGTAATATTCCATCTTATATGCACGTCTGGCCGGCGATGAATCGCCCATGATTGTGCCAAATGACGCCCGCAGCTCACAGAGTTCCGCCAAGCCCGAGTCCCGCCGCCAGCGGGCTGCCGTGTTCGCTAATGCACGATCCGGCCGACACGGGCGGACGCCATTCCTCCGATTAGCAAGAATTCCCGGAACTGGGCTCATGCCGCTCCATTAGAGGCATCACTTGCATCAGGTTTCGTCTCCATGCGAGGACCATTTAAACTGATTAAAAGAAACCTATTCATTATTTAGCTAGCCATTATGTACAATAGCACTGATTGAATAGATTAATATTGTAAAAAAATCTCTCTGATAATGTAACTAATCGACCTTTAATTAACAATAATATAAGAAAAAGTATTATTGTTATATCATGTAGAAAAATGAAATTGTTGATGATGAAATAAAGTAAAGGTCAATATATTTGGAAATTATGAATAGATGAGGGAACTTCTTTGCTAATTATAAAAGATAAATAATACAATAAAGACAATTGCCCATGAACAATTTGCTGTAAAGGTTGAGCGATGTCGCGCTGAGTTCAGCCGCAAAATATATGCTTAATTTTTAGCCATTTCTAATTACCCTTCGAGGTACTTGAGCACACATATGATGAAATCAGGTTATCTACCTGGTTTCAATCAATGCAAAAATCGAGAATTCACATATGCACTTCATCCTTTAACTATTGCACTTCATCCTGCACTTCATCCTGCATCCCAACATCTTCATCCAATAACTATTTTTGATCCAGTGCTCTCATTTGACAGGGGGAAATTATTTCTGCTATTCTGTTGACGAAGGCAAGAAGATGATTCATGTTGCCTCAGGGAAGTGACAGGAATTTTCTTGCTGAATCACTATAATTTTTCTTGGCTACGGAAAGCGTAGCGCGGACTGGCGGGATGCCAGGAGCTTGTTGCATCAATTGCTTCTTGAGGGGACGGAGGATCGATCATTGAAACCGAGACGACGAGGCACGCAAATCGGAAGGAATTCGCTCAGTGGCGACAATATACCATATAGAATATTGTGTAAGGATCTCCTAAGAATCTCTGTAGAATTATATAAGTAACGTTTTAAAATGCAACTGTACTGTCAATTTAGTTTGATGAGAAAATAATAGAATAACATCATGAATTTAGAACAGTCCGCCTTTTCTTTCTGCGCGTACAAAAGAAATGGTCGGCTTGGAAGCTATCAATGACGGCCCCAAGTTGCGCAATAAACTAATTAATTAAAAATTATTAACTTCACAAAATCAAGCAATGGGTTTAGTTCAAAATGAGTGAAAATTAGAAAAGAAGATAGTGAAGTGAACGCTAGAAAATATGTAGTAAAATAGTATGCTGAGGTTGTAATACGTATGAATTTTTTGAATCTGCAATATAACAACGACTACAGAAAATACTAAAATAAAACTTTAAATGCCCTAATGAATATTATATGCGATTGAATAAATTAAAATGAAAAGCTAGAGGACAAAAACAAACATTCAATTTTTGTAACAAAGTTAGAAGAGATGCAGCAATACGAGCAGCATGAGTCCCGAGCGTCTGAGCTGTGGTTGAATTAATACAACCATGGTAACAAATATTAATGTACATGGTTGTATTAATTCAACCATCGTCTGAGCTGCCATGATGCTTCGCGCTCTCGAAGGATTTAGCATAACGGAAGGTAATCCTTAACTCTAATTATTAAAAAGATCTTACACACTAATCCGTCTCGTAAGAATCAAAGAAGAGCATATCAATTTGTGTCGTTCACCGAGGAAATTTTGCATTGTTTATTAATTCAAGCCTTTATGAACGAGATAGGGTGATAAAACTGCCATCTACGTAAAATATTATTTAAATAGAAATTGTTTGATTTCTGATTACAGTGACGTCGGCTTTAATGGTAAATTAACGCTTCTATTCGCTGGCAAAATCAAGAATTTAGTAATTTTTCAAAGTACGGTGTATGATGGCTGGGAAAATGATGACAGTAATTCATAAAAATATAGAGTGTTAATTTTTCAGAAAATGCGATTATACAAAGTTTACGAGAGTTTCATTCAAAAAATTTCCCCACGAGCATTCTTGCAGTTTAAGAGGTTTTTTTTTAGAGAAGCTAAATTGACTTTAAATGACTTTAAATGAACTTCAAAACATCTGGCGGTGGGAGTCAGAAGCGCATGAGTGCAGAGGTCCTGTTGGTCGAGCGCTGGCTTACGCTAAACTTCATAAAAGTTATATTTTATAATATTTTTTCCGTGAGATTTATAATTCTGGAGTATTAGTCGAATAATTATACTTAATCATTTCGAAGTTTTAAATCGTACGCCTTAAAACAAAGTTGCAGACTGACCCTCATTCTAACAACCGATTGCTAACAACCGGACCATGGAACAAACTGTCAAAAGTTCCTAAGCTGTTAATTAATCGTGTAGCATTCAAAGGATAAAACTTCTACCGTTCACACATTCATTCTAGAACGACCACAAAACGAGTTCTCACAGTTGTAGGGCAAACATCGTATAATCGAAGAAATTTCTCTCCCAAATATCGAAAAAAAAAAATAAAAATTTTACGCCAAACACAGTGCAATCGAAGATCCTGAACAACCTTAACGTGCCGTCAAACTAAGTTTCAAAGCGATCACCGTAAAAACAGTCGAAGTTACGCCATCAAGTATCATTCAATCTCAAATTTCTGAATCAATGCACTGCATTACGGTATAACTGCATGAGCTCACGTGTGACGACACGACACTCGACGGAGTTTTCTTTAAATGTTTCTTATATATGTGTTATGGCTTCATTAACAGCTTGATCTTTAAATTGACGTTTTTATTGGTTGGGTATTGCTGAATTTATTCTAACCTTCTTATGTTGTACAGGTTAACATTAGATAAAAATGAATGAAATTAAAAGGGGATGCATAATTGTCTGATAAGGCGTCCTTGACAATTGATTAAAAAGTTTAGATAATAAAGTGTTATAATAATACCAAGATTTAATATTTAATTTTATTAGAAATACTGCACGAAAGCTGTAAAATAAAAATAGGTTCTGAAATAATGATAATGAAGGCATTGAATGATTCGGGAAAATTCTTTACAAAGATATATCCGTATAGTGCAAACACCTACAAGCTTGCGTCAAGCCTCACCTCGCTCATAGGAGATAATGGGATGCGCATGTAAGCCTAATTGATATTTTTTAAGGCGCTTATTCAAAATGAACTATAAGCGGGTTTTGTGCGGCCAATCAGTGTTTAATGCTCGGCAAGGGATTCATTATTATTTTGTAGCGCTCACTTGGTCAAGGAAATTGTTTGCTCTGAGGAAGAAGGAGGCGCGAAAATTTCTATTTGCGCTCCAGAGAAGAGCGGAGGGCAGCTTCAGGTACTGCATATGCTGTATGCTCCTCGCTGCCTCTGTCATTACTTTGCCTTAATTTCGTGAGATGTTCAGAGACACTAGAATGCTCGTCTTTAGATATTGATCTTCGAAAAATCATACTTTTTAAGTACAATACTTTTGTAACCCATGTATGTTTATTGCCAAAATCACACTGCATCTTTTATTTTTAATTCAATGAATGAAATAAAAGTTTGTTCAGGAAAGGAAAGTTAAAAGGAGTATAGGAATACTTATAGCCTCAAATTAATAAACACATACATATGTATGTTCCTTGGCTATAAACAAAATATTTATTAAGCATATTTGTCGAGCTGAATCAGGCCACTGGATAATGGACTATTTATTATGACGACCGTATTAAATAAACGTCCGTACCTGATGTTGGACCTGATGGCTGACATTAAGAATGATGACATGACATTCACAGTTGATTGCTAGGGCGATGATGCCACCCACACTCACGGATGATTTTGATGCTTCACTAACAAATAATGAAAATGGTGATGACTCACCACCATTTTTAATTTTTTGTTATTTCATTATAGTATATCCATGATTGTTTTTAATCAAATAATTAAGTATTAATACAAAAATACGATGTTGGAATGAACAAAACGTTCATTGAAATTGTATAATGAGAGCAGAAGACGTAACCTTTTATTATGAAGGTAACTAACAGAAATTCTGAAGAAATTACCTTGAAAAATACTGTGTGTGGTAATGTTACTGCGAACTAATGATGATAGATTTACATGCTGAAAGAAAAGAAACCAAACAACCGTTCATTTCATTTGAAATTTGATTAGATGAAGTTAATCTTAAAACTTGCTCATTAATTTTTCGATTCCTCAGAAATGCGGTAAATTGTTCTGAGGGACTCAAAAATGCACTTTCTATTTAAATGGCTGCTCAAAACTCCTAAAATCGTGTAAAATTTTTCTAGTAAATCCAATAAATTTGATCGATTATATGTTGCTGTTTTGCCCAAGATCAGTAGCCCTGTTTGCAACATTCAAATTTCTCAACATGCTTTATGAATGCTCGAATTGTCTTTGGAAAGCTCCCTGTAATATTTATTTCGCATGACTTGTGTTTGGAAGAATCAACATTGGCACTATGATGAAAAGTAAAACGAGATATCGCGTTGTTTCAACTCGAAAAAAATTATGATAAGATAATTATTCACATACGATCTCATTTTATTGATAAATTGCAATTTATTGTGGGGAAATATGTTTCACTGGAAATTTCCTAAAAATATAAAGGCTTCGTGCAACTGAATCATGTTTTTCATGTTCATGATATGAGATGGGAACATTGCAAATTACATGTTTCCATCTCATATCTCTTGTACAAAATTTACATCTGAAGTCGCCTATTTGACATCACGTCCTCCCTCCTAAACTATATAGTTAATACTATATAGGGCGAGAAATTACGCACTACAAACTCACAGTTTATACTTACTACTATACTATACTACTTAATAGTATTGTACTTTATACTACTACTATAAGTTACTACTATAAGTTACTACTATAAGTTCTCAAACTCGTACAGCATCAGCCCTCAAGCTCATAAATAATATAAACTAAAAGCTCTCACACTCAAATAATATAAGTTATAACTCTGATCACGCGCTTGCTGCGATGGCCTGCAGTGTCGCCCGACATCATCAACAGCAACACCTCCTCTGACACGAGCGTCGCAGAGGGCACGTCTGTTCGTCTGGTCTGCGCCGCGCGCGGCTACCCCAAACCTCTGATCACCTGGCGTCGCGAGGACGGCCGTCCCGTCGCCGTATCTTCCGCCACTCGTAAGCTCCAGGAAATTTATTCTGAGAAAAGACGGAAGCTTATTACAAATCACGGAGCAGCTTCTGTTCGTGTCTTGCCCAGTTTTGCCTTATCTTGACCCAGTTTGGCACGGCAGGATAGTATCAGTGCTACGTCAGCTCTATGATCGAGGTGGGGGAAAGAAAATGTCACTGTTCGGCCAGTATAATCCATTAATTTTCATAACCTTTTCATACTTCTATAGCCGTGAAACTAGACTACGGCATGTTCTGAACCACATTGGACATTTCGTTTGTTTTTTAATACATAATATAATTTACGAGCACATTGAATTGACAGACAGATTGCAAAATGAACTTATTGTGCCAACAAAAATTAAACCGCATTCAAAAATTTGTTAGACAAACAGAAGAATTGGGTAGCAGGATGAAAGTTGTAGGATGAAATATGTGTTTCAATGAACTGCTATCACTTTGCAGCAACAAACTCGCAACAGAGATGCTCTGAATATGAAGTATCACTTTCCTCAGAGGTCGTGTACAATTTCTGAGATTATTAATGCGTTATTACGAACACCCATTTTAGTTGTGAACGTTTCCTAGTTAAGACCACGACCAACAAACCTTAAGAGCTGTTCTAGAACCCTTGACTTTGATTGTCTGCTTTTTCTTCAGATGAAGTCAGTCATATGGATCCAATTTTCTTAAACATTTAAACAACTGTCTATATACACGTTGTCTTTGAGGAAAGATGAATTTTTCACAGATTTTCGTTGAGTTTTCTGGTATGTTTGTGACGTCAGAAGTGACGGGCGAGGCGCTGGTGATGCAGGCTGTGGTGCGCCATCAGATGGGGGCCTACCTCTGCATAGCCTCCAACGGCGTCCCTCCATCTGTCAGCAAGCGCATCAATCTTAACATCAACTGTGAGTGATGTGTCACCACCCTCAGCATCAACTGTGAGTGATGTGTCACCACCCTCAGCATCAACTGTGAGTGATGTGTCACCACCCTCAGCATCAACTGTGAGTGATGTGTCACCACCCTCAGCATCAACTGTGAGTGATGTGTCACCACCCTCAGCATCAACTGTGAGTGATGTGTCACCACCCTCAGCATCAACTGTGAGTGATGTGTCACCATCTCATCGTCCAAGTTATTTTCTATTAACAAATTTCAAAATCACAATCCATGATCTAGAGACTCTGAATCCATCAATGTGAAGTGTTGAGGGCTCGCGCGAGTCATGGAGACGCGAATTCAATTCGTGCACGACAATTTATGACGTAATATTTGTGATACGCTCAACAAATATTTGCTGCAACGTAAACACGACTTTAACGAAGAGCGACTTTAGCGAAGGAAAATTGATTATTTATCAATATCTGTGAGTTGATAACTATTTATTTAAATCGCAAATATAACGAGCTTTACTTCATCCAAGAATTTAAATGCAACGAACTTCACAAGGTTTTAAATACATTTTGGGAAATTAGTTCATGAATTGCTCGAAATTAAAGATAGCCATTACAAGATTTTTACCTGAACTTAAATTCAGGAGTTTGTTTGAAGAACCGATCGGTAAAAAGTGAGAGTCTAGTTTCTGAAGCAAATTTAACCGAAGCGGACTGAAGAAAAAGTTGTTCAAGTTTTAAGTGGCGGTCGCTCTCGGAAACAAATGTTTTCAGCGACAAGTTCATGCTGCTCGGTGCCCTGAGCGGGTGACAACAGCTGTTTAAAAGACAGCAGGACAAAATTAGCTATCCTTTGATTCTGCATTAGGACCATGAAAAATGGCCACGTGAAATAATGCACCTCACTTCCCGAAACTTAAATTAGAATGCCACAGGAATAAAAGACGCAAGGAACAAGAGAAACATGAGCAACAGCAGTGATCTCAACTTCTGTTAAATAAAGGCTTCTTATCTGCGGTTCTTACGCGGCCAGTGCAGGCGCGACGTCTGTAGCTGACATAAATTCATCACATGAGCGCTGCTAAATGTACATCTGATAACTTGAGAGCCTCTTAATCCTGAATCTTTTACCTGAGCACAATACAGAAATAATAATAATGTCTTTTTATTTTAAGTCACAATTTTTTCGCTTCGTTATTCCTTTAAATTTATTTTACTAAGCCGAATGTTACTTGCACTTTTATTTTATTCGACGATTAATTTCAACTAAAGAAACAAAAGGAGTGTTCTAAGCTCGTTAAATTTATTTTTCTTTCATCTAAATTTCCCCGGTAGTGGTGTCCAAATTAAATATTATATAAATAATATAATATGATGCGTGGTGTCGGCAGTCGCGCCCCAGGTGAAGGTACAGAACCAGCTACTGGGAGCGCCGCTGCTGACGGAGGTCTCCGTCAGGTGTCTGGTGGAGGCCTTCCCTCCCGCCATCGTCTACTGGCAGAGAGGCACCGCAGAGATCCTGCTGCCTGGGTAAATTTCTGCCCCTGTTGTTATTAGTCGACATGTTAATATTATATGCGTATAATTAATGACCAGAGAATGCATTATAATTTTCAAGGAGTCGAACAATTCTTTAGATGAAGTTTGTAGATCAGAGGGCAGATTTAGCAAATAGTAATAATATATTAACGACGTTTCGAATGTAGCAACATTCATTTTCAAGTTAAAAGAAGCATTGAATAGTGAAATTTTGTTGGACATATATACGTAAATAGGATACAACACAAAATTTTCGAGTCATTTTGCTTCTAAGAAGGTTGTAGACTTCTTAATATTTTGAACTACGTCGGAAGAATTGGACATCAACTGCAACATTGAGTATTACAAACAAGCAACTACATCTCAAGATCATTGATGAATTCAATATGCTTTGCGACACCCTTGCATGACAACAACGTCAAACTCCTGACTAGACGAAACAATGGCTCTTGCCAAAAAGCAGAAATTCTCCAAGAGACCAGTGCAGTTTATAAATTTTGCTTCAAAGAAGGTTGTAGACTTCTTCAACATTTGGACACTAGGACAAACTCACAAGACGCATGGCACGCACCGCGCTGGAGAAACCCACCAGCATCATCGTGCAGATCGAGGTGCACAGCATTAACCGACCAACGATTGTTGGAACCCTTTTAATTTTGAATTGGACCCCAGCAATCGATTTCCAAGCTAACGGATTTGTCTAAAAAATTTAATTTTGTTTGCGGAAGGACTTTCCGACTCGAAAATTTTGTGTTGTATCTTATTTACGTGTATTGTGGTCTTATGACCAACAAAATTTCATTATTAATCGCTTCTCGTAACTTAAAAAGGAATTTTGCTACATTCGAAACGTCGTTAATATATTATTACTATTTGCTAAATCTGCCTTCTGATCTACCAACGTCATCTAAAGAATTGTTCGACTCCATGAAAATTATTATGCATTCTCTGATCATTAATTGTACGCAAATAAACAAGAAAATTCTGCCGTCTCATAATAATATTAATATTACTAGATTTTCACTGCATGTTTTATTTTTATATCTAATTCCTTGTAAAACATTGCTGACCACGAGAACGAGATACGATACGCAAAGTGCATTTGCCCTCTTTTCGTTTCGATCAAATTTCTATGAAAAATATAGTGATCTTGTTCGAACAGAATTATTTCTGAAGCTCAAAGCTACACAAAAAATATTTACATTATTTAATTATATGTAACTAAATACTGCGCTCATAAACTCACATGATGTTTATATAGGGGCAAAATTATGCGGTGATCGAGCTAACCGGTCACATCGAGCAGCGCCGTAGCTTGCAAACTCTTTTCCAAGAGCACTCATCTGGTCACAAGTTCTTATCACAGATAAGGTTACAAGTTTTACTCTAGGAGATATGACGCTATTATTCACCAGCACTGAACTGCATATGCTCAAACGTTAAATACTCGTGAGTTCTCAGATGACCAGAGAAATTACGTCTGCTCGATAAAGTTGTTCGCTGTCATATCAGTTAATATTTCGTCAAGTCATCAGAGAAAATATAAAGCAATCATAAAAGTAACTCTCGTCACCTAAGCGTGGATTTTTGAAGTAAATTTTTGCGTACAATATACATACTTATTGTTTCATTTCATCGAATCTCAAATGAAGACTTGCTGAATGCAAGCTAAAATTATTTTGTACTTATTAATGAGGTTCAAAAAACTTTCTTCGTAACAGTGCAGATATTTTTAAATTTGAGTCCGCCTTTCCTCAACGCGAAGCACGCATTGTAATGTAGATTTACTTCGAATTGATCACTTTTTTCAACAGTGCAAAGCACGCGTTGCAGAACGAAGTTACTTTGTTTGCTTACATGCCTTTTACAGCGCGATGCACGCATATAGAAATGTGACTGTGCATTGCATTGATCGCACATTTTCCACAGTGCGAAACATGTGCTACAGGAGCAGCAGCAGCAGCAGCAGTACACCGCATCGCTGTTGCTGGTTGTGCGCGCTTTTAACTGGACGGACGTCGGACTGTACAGATGCGTAGCCACCAACTCGCTGGGCAGAGCTGATACCAGCGTCAGGCTTTACGTCATCGAATTGCTTAGGTACGTGCATGGGAGTGCTTCTTGGTGCGCAGTGGAGAACCAGTCAAGCGTCTAACTTCTTCGTTTGTGTTCTGTGCGTCAATGTTCGACCGTTTATTCTAGTTCCTCAGGTCTTGTTTTCATTTTACTTGTGCTTGAAATTCGAAATAAAGACCAGAAATTACTAGCGTATTGATGAAATGAATGTGCACCTAATATTAGCCCTGTTCCTTCAGGTCGACGGCGCGCTGGTCCAATCGCCCATCGAAGTCATCGACGAACTCTGCGGTCGAACTCCGCCGGGATCAAGAATTTTCGCCATCGACGACAGACAATTTTGATATTCGTGAAGAGGCGATCGATCAACGCCAGCTTTACGGGGTGTCGAATGGGGGTTTCGAAGCCACCCAACGTGATGGCGATGGTTGGGGCGGAGGACGCCCGGCGGGGCGAGGGAAAAGTTCCGCTGACAAGGGAGAGGGTGGGATTTTTTTAGACATTCTAGGATTTAACACCGCTTGTGTGGCCCAAAACGAAAGCTTTAAAGTGCTTGTATTTTTAATTACCAATATTATGTACACACAATACAGAAATACGTAATAAATGTGAATGATTATCTCTTGGGTAGTTGTTCGTCTTGTTTGTAAGCTGACCAAATTTTGCAGTATCGAAGTACCTGCGTGATGCTAAATCATTTAGGTTAATCTATTGTTTATTTAATATCTTTTCCTACATTTGAATGTTTTTATGAAAAAATTTGGTACATAAAAATTATATTCTATAAAATGGCCGTGAGGCCAAATCGAGTTTATTAATTGTTTTTCCAGTAACGAGGAAGGAATAAGTAAAATGAATGGTTGAATGGTCATTTAATTTTTAGCGACGATGTAAAGATATCTGAGGCAATTGATATTTCACAGTAGAATTGTTCCGCAGGTTCCAAGATCAATACAAAGCTAACGGATTCTACTTCGTGCACTTATTAGTCCTGTGACAGCAGAACACTACAATTTGTCAGATTACGAACACCAGAATAAACCTTCTGCAATATAATAACCGATCATGTGGCAAATCGACACAAACTATACTCCTGACTGACCCAAGTGAACAACGGGAAATATCCCTTTGTAAGGAAATTTCTTCCTAAGTAAGACTAATGTCAAAGAATATCTAAGTGAGCGGTCGTGCCGTGACTATGTAAATCAACAGAGGGTTGCAAGAACGTATAGTGGGGCCGATTTAGGTTTAGGTCAGCGCATTAAAATAGACAATAGTAGGGTTATAAGTAGTTAGTCCGGAGGACACGCGGGGCAGGGTTGCTTCAAAGAATTGTGCGAGTTTGTTAGAGAACGTCACAAAGGACAAGGATTTTCATCTCTGCCACATCAACCAAGTTGAAGTTAGAGTTTGGTTTAGAGTTAATAAAAGGGTTATATCTTAGAAAACTTCGAACCATGACCATTGACCATAGCAGCGTCTGCTTCGGTCTGCTACTTGAAGCCGATCGGCCTTAAGTAGTGCGTTGCCATTCATGCTTTTTTGTATATATATAACGTAAAAACACCCCAAAATTGTACGTGAATTATGAAAAGGGAACTATCTGCATCGGCAAAATAATGAGTAAAATATCGACAGCGGATATTTTACTCATAATTTTTTCAGGAAGACGTTTTGTGAAATGTGTAGAAGAAATATATTTTAAGTTCATATACCTAGGCGTGTTTCCATTCATTAGACGACGCAACGGTTTGATTTATCTCGGGTTGTGTCATAATGAGGGCACTTTTGGAATTTTTCAACAAAATGCCAGTAATGATGCCGTAATCATGTCAGTCGAGATAATCCTTTACTGATATAGAATTTTTTTTTTGAGCGACAATATGCCATCTTTATCATATGTGTTAATCTACTCTATAAATATTGTAAAATGTACATAATATACATATATTCAAATAATTCTTAATATATGTTTCGAGAAGAAATTGAGTTTTAATAATAACATGATCCTATGAGACAGCGCAATTTCTTAAATTTGAATTTAATTAAATGATATAAATGCCAAATCATCCAATCAAAAAAGTGAACAAATCTAAGCCATGAAGAAGCCGATTTTAATCATAAATTATTTATTATCACCGAGAAAATTGAACATCTCCTGATATCAACGTTAGAATTATTATTGGTTTAAGTCAATTATATATTGTTGTTATGTTTTCGCATCATATCCTGCTTTGGAAGTTTGTTAGATAATCACTGGTACTTAGTGTTTACTACTAGTGTACTATAGTAATAACTAGTACACTAGTGTTTTTATTTATTATTTCGAGGACGGCTCCGAAACAAGAAATTGAATGGAAGAATCTGAGGCCAAGACTATGCACAAGTGTATCTAGTGATGGGCGGTTAAGAGAACACACGGTTTTTTATCTCGTACTTGAAGTTGTTTTATTTGTTGGTATACGTTTTATTATAAATTTATTTCGTTTATCTCGTTTCGTCCTCCTTTCCTACAAAAATTTAATTATCAGCCATTCGATCATTGGTTTAATTTTTGGAGGCAATGAAGGCTTTTCACTCATTTTCATTAATTTAATTTGTCCCATAAAATGTTGTTTTCTTTTTCTCGTGATGGCACTCTCAATTTTGCATGAGATATACGAACGATTTTATTCATTATTGGATAATATATCGTATCCCAGGTGAAATTAAGAAATTTTTTACTGGATAAATAAATTATTCTCACCATTGTTCATTAACATAATCGCGAATGAAGCCCGCGAACAAAGGTTATTTCATCATCCTAAATGGAACGCAAGAGTAGTATGTAAACATCGACAGCATCAAGCATGTGATAAGACGTACACAATTAAATAATCACATTAATGCCTTAATGCAATACTTATACATTATGATGAGTGAAAAGAAGGTAGAGCGCGTACCGGTACACTGCTTGGCAGTTTAATTATGGGCTCACAGCCTAAACGAAGTGGTTGCCATTTATGCCTCTGAGCAATTTGATGAGTAAGAAACTTGAAAGGCTTTCCTAATATAAGTATAGGCAATAAGTGTGGGCATATAAATTTGGAAATAACGCGAATGAGATTTAATTATTATTTAAATATGACTATTTGCATTTGGGGACGGGAATTCCGCTTAAATAGAATAAATTTTCAATAAAATTTTAAAATAAAAATTAAAGATTTTATTCCTAGCAACAAATAACGTTTGAACGTTCTTTGAACGTCTTTGCCACAAAGGAAGCTTAATAACAATAACGTTTTAGACTGTACAAGGAAATTACGTTGCCGTGTACAGAGTAATATCATTTGTAATTAGAATATTATATGCAGGGATCTTGACCTAAGACCCGACTCTGATCACCTGTCACTGCAGCAAGACGCACTTAATCTCTCGTTGCTTAAGTTAATTTCCAGCGCAAGCCCGGCCACTAATCCTGCGCAATCCTGCGCCCTGCCACTAAACCTTCCACGTAGTCCTGCTGTGCCTACACCTAAACCTTGTCTTGAACTGCTGCCCTGCCATCAGAACCTTGCCCTGACCAACGGCTCTGCCATTATAACCTTGTTGTGACCTGCCACACTGCCACCATCAAGCCCTTACAGTCTGCATTGCCACTATGGAGCCCTGACCTGCCGCATTGCCACCATCAAGCCCTGGCAGTCTGTATTGCCACTATGAAGCCCTAACCTGCCGCATTGCCACCATCAAGCTCTGGCAGTCTGCATTGCCACTATTAAGCCCTGACAGTCTGCATTGCCACCATCAAGCTCTGACAGTCTGCATTGCCACCATCAAGCTCTGACAGTCTGCATTGCCACTATTAAGCCCTGACAGTCTGCATTGCCACCATCAAGCCCTCACCTTCAGTGATGCCACCAATACGCTCTAACCTGCCGCATTGCCACTATTTAGAACTGACATATATATACATATATATATATATACCGCATTGCCACCATTAATCCTCATTCATCCCGCGCTGCCAGTTGCCACCGAAGTCCCAGGCATCCCAGGAGTAAGGCCATCAAAGAGTAAATTCGAGACAAATATTTCAAATTTATTTAAATACATTTTGCTACATCTGAACTTCGTCAGTTAAAATCTTTAGTTTGCCATACAAAAATTGACGATTCCTGTCTGTATTGATGAGATCGTTGCGTGTACAGAATTCTTTTTTCACCACATGAGCTTGAGTCGTGCGCTGTCTAGCTGCTCATATGGAATTCTCTCATGAATGCATGAAGATCGTAGCGTGTGTTTGAATGTTGAAGTTTTATAGGCGAGGTGAGAATACTAAATCACAAAAATCATGTAATATTTTTACACATTTTTTAGTCTAATTTCTTCTTTTGGGTTGTCAGTCTGAAAGTTGACACTAAATATAACGGCAATTACATATCTGAGCTTAATTTGCTTGTTCGTGCCGCTGACGCTAGTGGGTGAATAAGTTGAAAAAACAACTCTCAGTGAACCCTCGTAAGAACTTTTAAACTGAACTTTCAACAAGTAATTTATATGCAATGTTATCTAGAAATATAAACATTATAACAAGTTCCTTACGTAAATAATTACGATATCTGCCTTATTTCTTATTCATACGTTGCCCTTGAACATCAATGCGTTGAAATATGGGTGCATTCACGTATATTTTTGTAACTAATTTATATTACTACTAAAAAATAAATATTTGCTGTTTTTTCCAAGTAATTCACTGTCAATTCCTTTGATTATTTGTCAGAGATTGCATCGAATCGAATACAAATACTGAGGACGGCGGCTTTCCCACTCGAGCTGCTGAATGACTTACAGCTTGGCTATTTTATTTGCCAGGGGAGGTTGGCTCCATGTACTTTTGATTAACCTGTCAATCAGAGATTTTAATGAGATGCAACTAAGAGTATGGACGGAAACATAACAGAGTGTAATTTGCAATCATCAGTATTTATGCATCCATCGTTTGCCCTCCGATGCTCCGTAGATAATTAACAGCAAGGGTTTTTCTCGCTATACTCAGACTACTAGAATAATTTGTTCGAACTTTCGTTGGCCGCTATATTAAAGCAGCAGGAAACTTATAATTTACAACGCCGATCAATTTACTTTGCAGAAATTCAATTTAAATACTGCTGGATCGCGGCCAAAACGCTGAAAACCGGATTTTATTGTTAATTATGTGGAACATTATAAATACCGAATCTAAAGGGTTGATCCATCTCAACATGTCAATACATAAATATTCGTTAGGAATTATTTGGTGTATATCTCAGAAGCCAGAAACGTTCCGACTTGGGACGTGGTGTGGATGCATTGTAGATGGAGAGGCAGTATTAGATATAAGTGCACATATTGCGTCTGAAGATATTCAACAATTCGATTTACCGAAATCATTCACATTTGTAAATTTATATTTTATGTGAACGAGTTTTTCTAACCTTACCTGCATTTGAACAAATTTTTTTCATTGCCGGCAGTCAGTTCAGCAGCCATGCAGTGTCAGCAACGTGTCACAAGAGACAACAAAGCTACACAAGAATATATATAGGCGACTATATATACTTATTATATTTCTTGTACGTAGCAACCTTCAATGATCGAGATTTTAGATACATATATGCAGACATTTACGTTACTATAAAAAGTCATTCTCACATGGTCGTAATAATTTGACAGTCTTTATCAGGGACCCTTATTTATCAGGGATTCACATAGAATGCAATGCTTTTTTTCAGCCACGCCAGAAAAATCTGAATTCACTAGCAGGTAAAATAATTTCCACAATATGGCATTATTTGGGTCGTGGACCAGTACATTTTTAGACATACTGTGTAACCCGAACGCACAGATCTACACAAAGCGTCAATGACGTCTAAAGTAGAAGGTCTGTTCTGCCCTGCATGGAACATTGCTATTTCAAATGACCAACCTAAATGTGCGAATCGTTAAAGATAACCTTGATCCTACAGACCCACCTCACTCCTGCAAGGATGCGATCACACGCAGCTGCGCCCTATATACAATATAGTCCTTAGGGTTGAGGTCAACTTAATAGACTACACATTCAGTAGGGCAAATTATAGGGAATAAATTAAGAACAATTTATGATTTGGGGTGTGGTGTGACCGTCGGAGTCCAGCAAGACCGGCGGAGTTTTGCTAGGACCTGACTTATACCGACGAAGAATAGCACATTGCACGAGCTCTAATACCAAAAGCTCAAAGAACAGAAATGTCGTTTTGATCATTGATTTATAAATTCTGCATTTTCTACTCAAAAGTTCGATTAATATTGCCTCGCCCATAAACAGGAGGGTCCTTGTGCAAACAATTAACAGACATCTTACCTGCGGAGGAGACTGGGTTCATTGGAGGCCCGTGAACGCGTACGACAGGGTTTATTAAATTTTGGCGATCGACCTCTAACTTGAGGCCCCGCAAGTTGCCTGGACCCAACGTTTCTATTAATCTCATGAACATTTGACCGTTTTTAGCGCATTTTCTCATTTATGGAAAAAATGCACTATTGTGCTCGCCCTGTCCGTCTGTCCGTGACCTCAAGTTTTCGTCGACGAGAAAATGCGCTCTCTGTCACTCACTGCAGTGAGTACTGAGTTATATTTTTTGTTTATTTGTATATTTGCGTGTGCGTGTCTGATGCTTGGCACCGCAAATACAATAGCGGCTGATCGAGAGCATATCCAGGATTCTTATCGTGTCGGGACTTTACCTGGAACTCAAAATTAATTGTTAGCGAAAGAATAGTGAGGCATTGAAAAAATTGGTGGAAAGGATTAAACCAAAATTTTAAATTTGATTTTTCATTTGGTATTTACAATTTGAGTTCAAAATGAACCAAATAATTTTTAATATTTTGAAACGATTGTCAAATGGGTAATGTTTGTTCCATATCAATTTCGTTTCGGATGGGTCTCCTTAAATTAGCACACATATAAGCTTTATTTTTATTTACGGGATGAGGAACCACAGGTAGACGTGTGTAACAAGTAACAATTAGTTAATTCAAATTAAGTTTTTACTTCAACAAGCCAAACTGACAGCCACTAAAAATGCGATTTATTTGAAGCATTTTTTCAAATTTAAATGTTTTTTGAAGTTATTGTAGATGATCCGAATGAGCCGCTAACCGAAGAAATTGTGAGAATATCTTCTTGCGTGCTGCATTTTTGCCCTCGCCGTGTATTGCAACCCTGCACTGCGGCGTGACCAGCTAGCAGGCCGGCATGGAAGTGTGGGCATTTGAGTCGCAAATAAACAAAACTACTGTCGCAACATAAAATGTCAGCTAAGTTTTCGTTGCGAAGGGAAGATAATAAAAATTTTAGCATGATAACTTTAATTGCTTCTGTGCGTCGTACCAGTTCAAACAATCAAGTGGCTCATTATTGACACAATGAATGAAATTAATTTTTTATTCCTTAATTTCTGCTATCATCCAAATAAAAAATATAAAAAGTATAAATTTCAATCCACTTTTGGAAAATTGCTCTAATAATAATAATATAAATAAAGCTCGTAGTGTTAAAACTGACATGATAGAAACCTTGTACTAGTCTACTTTCTATTCAAAACGGTATCTAGACAGTCGTGAGGCATTTGGCAAGCGAAAGACGGAGTCACTGAACCAGATATTATACAGCTCGAAGCTACGTTATCAAATTTCAACTGGATTCGTTTAGCGTGCGTGCCATTGGCACATGTTAGCTGGCGACCCGCGTCCCCGCCCCCGATTCGACCTGAGGTCAAGTTGACATGAGGTGCAGGGCAGCGGCTGTCTCACTGCCTCAGTTAGTGTGCACTCCAGCGCTGGGTAGCTCATGCAAACGAGCTCGCGAGACGCGACATTGTAACCATGAATATCCTGACGGTTCGTATTTGAATTAAGTTGTGTTCGTTTTAATTCGTTCAGTGAACTCAAGTATGCTCACAGACAAATTGCTCTCGAGTATTATTTTATTAGATAGAAAATTTTTGTTTTATTTTATTATGAGAGTTTCGCATATACATATTATTTGTACATGTGTTGTTAGTTCTGAACATATATTAGGGGTTTTGTAATAAGATAATCACCTTCATAGGTTCATTTTCTGATTAAACTTTTAATTTTTGACGGTGACGATCCAAAAGACATACGTGATTATCAAATGGGACAGCAGTCAGTGCTCTCGCTCCGCCATGGCCAGCATATTCGTTATTTGATAGAATAAATTATGGTTTAAATATTTAAAATACTGTATTATTTCATTCTGTGGGTCACATATTGAAAAAACACCTGACTAGTTTGTGAAAATGTAATGTCAACCTCACTACACAAATGACCCTAACAATTTTGAACATAAAGAGTGAATTATTATTAAGAGTTGTAAAGTTAATATTAAGAGTTGTAAAGTTTAGGTGAAAAGGGTAAATATCTAATCTCTTAAGCCAACACGCCATAACAAATAGTTATAGTACCAGATTTAAAATCCCATACTATGCACGTTGTAATTCTGGAATTGATTGAAAATTTTCAGATCGCTGCGCTGGTATGCCTCATAAGCCACGTTGCGCAGGCATCAGAAGGAGAGACCTCGAAACTAGAGAGCGACAGCGGCGCTACTGATGAGCTTCGAACGCTGCCGACCAACGAACTTGACGACCAGTTTGCAAACCGAACGAAACGACAATTTATATTGACACGACTCGACTTACTTCCTCCTTCCGTGAGAAATTCAAACCCTTTCATTGTTATTCCTCCAGCTCGAACACAGGTTCGGAACCTCCAGAATACAAATACGGAAGGACGCGCGAGAAATATTGTTATTCAACCGGGGAGAATTATTTTCCAGCGACAGATAACCGTACCAGCCTCCACGCAATTCCGGGATGGCTTCCAACCAACACAAAACTTCCCAGGAGCAACGACTTCCGGAAACAGGCCTCAAGCTTTCGGATTTACACCGGCACCAAACAATCGACAGACCACAGTTACACAAATCAGACCAACAGCTGCCTTCGTAGTTCCCTTAACACTGGCCGTTGGCCAACAGCAAAATTTAAACTTCCAGCCAATACCACGCCAAGAGCCATTGCAAGAAAACCGCCTTCAGAACTTCCGTGCTGCTCAGTCCGCTCCTCTTAACCCTGATATTTTAATTGCAAATCACCTTTTAAACCAGCGGGAACGAGGAAGACAGCAACAGCTGTTGCAGAGACAGCAGAGACCGTTCCAGCAACAACGGTTCCAAACTTTCCAAGAAGGATTCAGAAGCCCATTTTCTAACACAAACCAACCGCAATTCTTTCGACCGATAAATTCTTTTAATACTCAAACACGACAACAGCAAATAAATCCGGGGTCTCAGTCTTTTGATCAGAATTTCAGAATAAACCAAGGAACCAATTTGAGAAATATAATACCAACAGAAGCAGGTGGTCCAACCGTTCAACCGGCAGATTCTAGCAGATCTACAGCCGTCAGACAGCCCCTGGTACGTGTTTCAGATATAGTCGTTTGTGAACTGAACGATGGCACTATTATTTGCTTCATCTGTGTATAAAATGAGCACAAGAAATGTTTATTTAGGATGGTAACACTTATCGTATTTTATAACCTTTTATCAACATATTTGTTCGTACTAAGTCAGCCTTTTCCCAGGGTTAAGCAAAAATAAATACTTGAAGCCTTAAAACGAATTTGAGGAGCCATTTATGATACTGAGAGTTACTGATTCAAAATTTTAAAATCTTTATTCATGATTCCTTTAGCAGGCGACTTCATCGAACGTCGGACAATCCGGTCGACCTCTGTCAGCCACGCGAGCGCAGGCAAGTAGTACAGATTTTACGATATCCACTGAAAATTTACTCCATTATTCCTCCAGCACCAAATTTGCACGAATTTTATAGAGAAAGCCCGTCCTAATTTACGATTTTATTTTAAAAAACTGTGTGATGTACATTGGGTTTTTGGTGAGATTGCCCTTCAACGAGTGATTCTTTTCCTCAGCCCGTTGGTCCGGCGACAGTAAACAACCTACTGGCTCAGTCGTCCCCTTCAAATTTTGGTCAAAACGTCGGCGTTTCAATACCAACATCATTCTCAGGATCTACATTCAGCCCTGCAAACAGCGCTGTTCAGTCAAACAGTTTCCAAGGATCGACAGTTCACCCGATACTTCAACTCGTGGAAATCTTCGTCCAGGATTGCCATCCTTCAGAACTTCTATCTCGTCCTTAGATCAAACTGTTGGAATACCTCTGCCCCTGCAAAGTGTCCGGAACTTACAGGTATGATCTACAATCCTGCATGATTTATGTTTTTGGATAATAATTGTTTCGTGCTATTGATAACGGGTCTTTAATTGTCTCTTGCAAAGTCCTTAAACATTTTTCTTACGAGGATAATTTTAGTCTTCCAGTCTAAGAAAATGGTGGTACAAAACTCAAACATGTGAAAATGGAATGACTCTTCTGTTATGGTTTTTTTTTGTAACACAAATTACTGTCTAAAAAAAGTCTCTGATATAATCACGTATCAGAGTTTGCGTAAAATGACGTTTGCCTTGGTTTTAATAAATCAAGATGATTTTATTCACACATGAGTAAATGTGCTACATTATGGCGGATAAGGAGAGTTTCAATTAATGCCGGCACTCTTACATTCAATGCACCTCAATTCAGGCATTGTAGGGATACATGTAATCCAACTCCTATATTCTCAAACTCCTAATATTAAGATTTCATACGAAATGAAAACAAGCGTATATTCATGCTAAATACCATGCCAAGCGGCAAGGAGTGTCCACTTGCGTATGCAAATGCCACAGTTCACGGTGAGAAGGATAACGCACTGAATGTCGCTTGCGTTACAGGGTCATAGGATTTTCTCCTTTGAAGGCTTTCTTGTGTCCTGTATACCGACTAGGGCTCAAGCTTAGGCAATAACTGATGACAAAATGACTATGCTTATAAATTGTAATTGGCATTTGGGTAAGTGAATATAACGTAAAAAACTTAAGTAATCGATAATTTACAATTGCGATTGTTGTACAAAATGTCGTACCGTAGAAGTACTCGATTGAAACGGTGATTAGATTTATTAGTAAAAGTTAAAGTGGTTCATTAATTGAGCAAATTAATGCTTTTGCGAGCATAAAGAAATCTAAACGTTCATATTTTGTGCCAAAAGGAATTTTAGCTCGGTCAAAATCTAACAACAATGAATCGTTGTGCATCCGAAAATTACTTTGAAGGATCTGGATTTTGAATCTTAAAGTAATCTTTCATAATTTTCCGCATTGATTAGAGATTTTTATCTAAATCCATTAGACTTTTACAAATATGTCTTAGAACCAAGTTACTGCTTATTTTCGGTCGCAGTATCAGTGCGAGTTATTTCACAACCTGTAGTGTAACAATAAAATAAACGAGTGAGATTTAAAACCTTTCGCACATTTCACTTCACTTTCAAGCCGCCAAGCATGCAAAGCAGGTTTGCGTCTAACGTTTTACACGGATGGCGAATTTGCGCATGTCGCTACCAATTATTTTGTAAGACATCAGCGTCATTGTATCAGGTGGTCGTGACTACATAAGTGCTGCGAGTCCAGAGCGTGTCTGGAACACGACATGTGCGAGGAATGGGATGTTTATATCACGCTGTAAATTCCTGAGACAAGAATGAAACTTTCAAGTGAAATTGTACCTATCACTGAGCAAAATCAAATCATAGCAATTTTCTTGGAATGGAAAAGCTTAAGAAATAAATATACAGGTTTATGAAACGTAAAACAACGCAGAAGTCAACGATTGGTGCAGCCCTGTACCAGACATCATGATGAAAACTTGTGCGAAAATTAAATTAATTGAAAAGTAAAAGTTCAGTGGGCGTCATTATGGGGATAGGAGATGATCTGTAAGTGTGATCTGATTCATGGATACGATCTTGCCACTATTTTACCACGTTTTTCTTAGCTCGCTTTCGTGTCCGTCTGTCTGTGATGATCAAATCTTGCAATCGATATTTCACCAACTTTCCCGCTAGCTAGCGCTCTGAAACTTTTAGGGAAGCTCAGCTCCCGATGACAATACAATAATCAATAATTTGTTGCACGTTTCCAGGCGTATTTATTCAATTAAATGTATGAAATGGAATACAGGAAAAACAATGTATCCCCTCGAATACAATTTTCTACAGAACTTCGAAAAAATTTTCTTTCGTGCATTTGCGTGGCCAACTGAAATAAAATTATCATCGTACGTATCATCGATACGTACGCCAAGTCAAGTAAATTGGCTCGCAACAACGTTTTTCATGTGTAGCAACGGACTAAAAAGGAGAAAATAAAATACTTAAAAAAACTTTAAAAAAAAACACGTTTTTCTTGTGAACTAAAAAGTAGAAAATGAATTATGGCTCGCCCCAAAAAACGTGTTTCGGGCAGATTTATGAAGCACACAACACACGAATTTTGGAAATTTGATGGTGAACGTACAGCCCGACCCACGTTTTTTGGGGCGAGCCATAATTCATTTTCTACTTTTTAGTTCACAAGAAAAACGTGTTTTTTTTTAAAGTTTTTTTAAGTATTTTATTTACCGCTGAGTCTGCTGCCATTATAGATTCTTTATTGTCGAGTAAGTCCGGAATGACTTTTGAAAACTTGGCAAATCAAAATTAATTCATCATGTTAAAACTATTGCGGCATCATTATGGCCAATAATGAATTTTCTTTCATACATAATTGATTTTGTTTCGTTAAATTGTACAAATTTTCATCAAAAATTATATCATACGGCAAATTAAATTTTTTTTTAAATTACTATCCCGTGAATTTTTCTCGTCTGAAATTCATGTTTTCAGTTAAAGGCCTCAAGTGAATTTCCGACGGCCCAGATGAATGAACACGCGATAATCATCGTGATCTGCAACAACTACATAGCATCACTGCTACGCTGCACAGCAAAAATTCTTTTTCACAAATCAAATTCAGCAAAATATACTTGAATGACTCCTGTCTCCATAAAGATTTATAATAATTGTGAGCTAATTTATCAATTACAGATTCATTGACTCCATAAAGTCAACCCCAAGACAACAATTGGGTATTATTATCCCAGCAATTGCTATGACTGGAACGCGTAGCACACGCGGTTGCTCACATTGTGCACGCTGCGCAGGGTGTGGCTGATCGATGCCCCGACCTCGCGCCTGGCAGTTAAGCGGTTGCCTACGTCGCGGCAGCGGGGCTCTCACTCGACAAAAGCATGCCTTCAATGATCCCACGTACCGAGAAGGCAATCACGCGATATCCAAGTTGAAAAATGATTAGCCTTCTACACCCGCGCAAACCTTGAACGTGAAAAGAAAGTGATAGTCGCACACCTGAACTCACAATTTTTTGTTGCTCATTTTGAGTGAGTGTTTCATCATGCAAGGGGGGGGTTCATAAAGAGAAATTCTTTTTTAGGCTTTAGTCGTTGTCGATGCATGAAGAAATCTAGATCTTTATCACATTGAGTGATGTGTAAGCTTTGTTGTCGAGTGCCATTTGCATTTGTATATATTTGCTTTGATGCTGCATAAAATTAACCTATACAATTGCCGCTAATTCGCGACCTTTTTTTGTGCACACATATTTTCTACTCAGTCAAATTACGATCAAAGGTTTATATTGCAGACAGAAGAGAACACATATGATCGCCGCATGCTTGAGGTTACACGAATATTTAAGTAAATCTAAATGCAAATGCTGAATTTGAACCTAAATTTATTTCAGTCTTGTTATATATGAAGATTAGAAGAGAACAAGAGTTGAACTTATCATCCACACCCACAATATTCATTCTCATCAGTTACAAGAACCCAATGTATTTAGTTATTGACCAGAGTTTGCGCTTTAGTGCTCTGGTCGAAACACGTTTTCCTTCAACGTCGATTAATTAATTTTTTTGCATAACTTTCTCAACCGTTGAAGAATTATGAAGGACTGAAGAGTTATCCATGTTGATCATTATATGAAGTATGGCGAGGCCTTCCACTTAATACGCATTAGTAAGCAGTCTACCTTACCCTCCTCACCCTGACCTCACATTCCAAATGGACAAATGTATCTTGAGGCCTTGCGCTGTTACCGAGCTGATAAGGTGCAGGCTGGAGCGTCTAATTTTATCGTTATCTGCAACAACCCTGTTTCAGAGTGTGATTCCCACAATAGTAGTTATTCAAAATCAAACTTGGATATTATTTCAGTTCGTTAATTGGAAATTTGTTGTTAGAATAGAAGTAAGCCATAAATTCAATAAGAAGAGAAAGTTCAGCATACATGTGCTACAGTTAACCTTTTAAGTTCAGGCGGCGCAGACATCTACTTAGGTCGTGTAGCAGCTAACCGCAAGGTCGCCATGCCAGGTCCTCTTACCTTTCCGCGTGCGCGCTACGACCGCGGGAAAGTTAGCCGCGCCGCTGCACGTTATGCTGAAAAATGTCGGTGTAGAATTTAGACAGGCCTTTTTCAAAAAATTGGGACAGTCTTTATATCATTCAAACTAAAATTTACTGTTATATTTCACGTTATGCGCTATCGCATCTAAGAGAAAAGTTATGAAGGGATTTTAAATTAGGTTTTAACAAATTTGTCGTGAATAATATTGAAACATTGTTCGTGCAACATGTTTAATTCTAATTTTTTCACCTTTTTTAGCATTGTATTTTAGCTATTTATCTTTACATTTATAATGAAATATTTTGTCGGCACATTGCGTGCTCATGTTATATACACGCTCCTTTTCGTCAGCATATACTGTACGTGTTCAAATGATACAAAATAAATGCGTTAGTTATTTAAAGATTTTCTACAAATAGACTCAACTTGTACTTCGAGATTTTCTTCTCACAATTTAAATTATAGAGCGTACTAATCCTGCAAAACAATACAACACATATGGAGCGCTCGTCATGAAATCATGGTCATGTAACTTCCCTGCAATTATACTTGCGTCAGACCTGCTTTAATTCAGCAAATGTTTCGCATCGTGCATTAATAAAACGTAACTCGAGTATGAAAAATATCTTTACACAAAATTTGGCAAGGTTTATTTTTAAGAAATTGAAGGGCATGACTTACATGACTGCGTGTACGAGGTCTGTAAGGGCATGACTTACACTGACCTCGTATTAATCAAGGGCTCATCTCTCACAAAATACGCGTACTCCAAAAATTTACGTTTAATAAGAGACCTTATTTTGTTGGTCTGGGGAATGCCGCAAATTCGTTTATACAACCTTAAAGAGAAAAAATTACAAAACATGCAAGTTTAGATGACTGCGTTATAGCTTTAAACTTACTTTTAAAATCTTAAGAATTAATGAAGAAATTTAATATTGTCTGAACGTATTTCTGTTTGAAGTCTTGCATTGTTTTGAGCTATAAGGTTTACATATGTTTGTTAACACTGATATGTGGCTCTGTGGCTGCGACACAGGCTACGCTCTCAATGATACATGACAAATACATAACCAACGCATGTGTATCAGCTAACTGATAGTTGTTTTACGACGTTTAAAAAGTCTTCTAGTCAAAAATTACTATGTTAGCCTGAAAATATGAAATTTGTGCATTAAAAATTTCGAACGAATTTATAAAGTCTTGTAAACGCACTAGACTGTTCAATATCATATGTGTAGGAAATATCGAATTTACTTCATATAATAATGTGCCATGAACTTGCTGCAATTGACTGTTGGAATTTGTTATCTGTGTTTATTGTGTCTAACAATAAAATATTATATCAGATGCTTTACGATTGATTGAGTTCTAAAATCTATGTTGAGTTTCCCCGAGTTGAGCCAACACGCTCACCCACTCGTTTTGTTCAGTCGTCTGCTGAGTTATGAACTCAGCTTTTAACTCAATAAGTTATTGCTTAATTTTGTACTTCGCAGGCATCAGCCGGTGGTTCTCCAGGTCCTCGTTTCTTCGTTCGACCAGAAAGTCGGGAAGTATTCGACACTCAAGAAATTCTTGACTCCAGAGAATTCTTCGACGCTCGGGGCATCCTACGTTCCCGTGAGCTGCACGACACGCTCGAGGTGCTCGGGTCCCGTGAATTTCTCTCTTCTGAAATCCAGATTCACAATTAAAGGCCTCAAGTGAATTTCCGACGGCCTAGATGGAGGAACGCGCGCCGAATTATTTAGAGAAGATAAAAGCTAATTAAGTTACCGAAAATTTGAACTATGTGTTTTGCCCCTTTCTGGTTAGTATGAACACTGTAAAGTGACAGCACTGTGAAGTTTGGTATAGTCTTGGCTTTTCTCAATTGCAGATATCTGGTAAATTAACTTTTCTGTCAATTATACGAAAATATATTAATTTAAACACAATTTAAAATAATTTCATTGCCTTACTTACCGTAGTCTAACTTAATCTTATGGAAACGGTTTGAATTAAAATCGTTTGCTCATTGGATTATTATCATTCTAGGTCACAAATAAAAATTAGGTTGTGCTCCGCTTCCTCAAAAACGCCGCGCTTCAAATATTTTAGAAAAAGTTTCGGCATTCTTGTATGCTGCGCTCCAAGTAGTTCAATAATTTATTGAAGTTCAATGATTACAGTTTAATAATATTGAACTTCAATAATAAAACAGCAGTCTACATTAGTTGAATTCGATCGTGTCGACGGAACAAAGTTGCGATTACTTATACAGTAAAATCTACACAATAACGACAGAAAATTGAATACGAGCTCGAAGCACTCGCGTGGTGAGCGCAAGAATAGTGCAGATAAATGAATAAAACATACAATTCTACAAGACTGCATTAGGCTAAAAAAAGAATTAACTAACTGCCATGGACATTGGACAGGCATTTCATAGCGACTCCCTCCAACACTGGCAGCAGTCACATGATTAGTGAGCGCCCTGGATATCCCGCGTTAGCCATCTAATATCCTTGCAGACGCTACCTGAAGACAATAGTTAATTAAATATGTAATCTAATGACATGATATCATTTCAAATAGTAAGCCCGTCTGACACAATTTGATGCTAACTGCACGATGCGAATGAAATAGTTGATGAAATGTTATTGGCAAGGGAAATATACTCATACAATTTTAATTGTAAATATATAGAAATTAAAGTATATGAGGATATGCAACGAAATAAGATTACAGTAAATGTTCTCAAAAATTTACTCTTATTTTCAAATATAATTTGGAAATCCACGTTTGACGTGCTTAGTTGCATTTGGTTTAGTGTATCAATTGTGCATTAGGTTATGATGGATTCAATTTTCAAAATGCTAGTGTAGAAAACTATATACACATAGAATTCTTTCGATGCGTCTTTATTAGGACGGGATTTTTGAGATAAACATAAATCAATAACTTTTAAACAGTTTATGTAGCATTAAATGTTGATTTAAAATTTCAAATGGCATTGCTAAATCTATCGTATTATGCACAATTCACCTAAGCAAGTCGAAAATCTAGATACAACCCACTGGTTATTCATTGCAAATAATAGATATTTATATATGACAATAATATAGCAGACTCGGCATTTACTAGGCCGTAGGCCTGTCGCAGATTCATGAGATCGCAGAAAAATGGCAGATAATTAGGGGCTCGCACCTATCAACCAACCAACCCGCACCTATATCTGCTTCTGCTTCAATCCTGGTACACTGGACAATTGTCTCTGGGCCACACTGCCCGATCATTTAATAACAATATCTATACATTAATGCAATTTTATTAAAAATTAGAAACAGTTATAACAAATTTGCATGAATCTCTTAATTCTAGCTTGAGAATTTCAGAAAAAAATAAAAAGTTTTCATAAATGAACAGTGCTCCTTTAAAATTCGGGTTTTTCATTTTAATGGGTAATATAAGCATTAAATATGAATGGGCTAAAAAGTAATTCACGATGTAAGAAAGGCAATGATGCAAGATTTCACTCGCAAAATTAGTCTGGCCATAAAAATATCAAGTTGTTGGCAATCAAAGGCCGCAAAATTACCTTTAATTTAGTAATATTATTTTATCATGAATGGAATGAAAAAAAGGCAAAATAATATGTGAAAGCTGGTTACCGTAAATAAAGGCATCGGCAAAACGAAAAAGCAGCTTGTCTAGCGGTTTCATAGCGAATTCGAACCTAGTATCTGCGCGCGCATTCAGAACCTGCTTTCAAATTGGTTCGGACTTCGGAGCAGCTGAGTGACGCTAGGGCCGGGTTAGGAATTGAAAAATAAATTTCAATGTCATATGTTCAATCGTGCGCCGGGTTATAGTACCGATTGTCGATTGATGTTTCTATAAAGATGTTTTCAAAAGCTAAACTAAAGCGTTTCAACGAGGAAGTAGGTGAGTAAATTTACTAGGTACTTAGAGACTAGAATTTACTGGACATTTACTGATTTAGGTTGTAGTGACCGTTGTACTAGATTAACACTCACCCTGTCTGGCCTGTCACGCAGTCAGTCAATGTAGGAGCCTGATGACAATTTTACCCAATAGTAACCAATACCCGTATCATCTAGCCTGTGTTCAATATGCCAGAAGGAAATTGCGTTTTAATTGCTGAAATACCTACCAAAAAGTTTTCAATAATACTCACTTTCCAGTTTAGCTACCTACATTGTTGAGTGATTGTTAGAGTTCCTAATAGTATTTGTATTTTAAATTCAGATTGATATAGAATATAAAATTTTAAATTTCCAATTGTTTCTAGCTTTATTTTCCTGAATTTGGCTAAGTTCTAAATCTTCTAATTGCAGCTTTAAATTAAAATAACAATATAGCTATATAGGTATGGTCAAGGACTAAAGGTAAGGTACGCCTGGTACGGCCGTACGGGTACCTAATTGATTTATAGCATAATTGCAGCTTGCAGGTTTATCACAAAAAATTTGATAAAATTGATGGCATATCATTATATTATGCATAGCAGAGCTTTGAACAAACAAATATGTGATTGTGGCCAGTTGAGTATCTAATATACAGGAAAATTAGACATACCTTCAAAGTTCGAATAGGGTAATAACTTACTAATAAGGGATGGGTGCCATTGGGTGGGGTGAATTGAAAGTTGAAACCGTCCTCTGTGGCCTGCGCTCTGCCATGATGTAAAAATGTTATAGGCCTAGCAGCAAAACTAATTCAAATATTGCAATATTAAAAATAGTGGCATAATGGCATTAACTTCAATATTTTCAAGAAAAATCTAGGGTAAATGCGGTATATTCCAACACTTTAAGGACGTAGCAAAAAATGAATGGCTAAAATCATATGCGCAACACAAGTTCTGTTTGCTTTACGTCACTCTCCAAACACTGCACTATGCGCCAGCAACAATGAAACGTCACAAAATGTTTCCATATTCATTTAAAAGCCTTTAGAATGCAAACCTACCAAATCCATATATTCCAACACAGTGCGACACTGTGTGTGACTAAATTTGGCATTTTGTGGTGAGACTAATTCCGGCTGTGCTTCAAACTCTACTAATTTGTAATTACAACACTCTTGTGTTCAAATTCCAATCGCTGTGTGAGCTGTATTGGAATACAAGCAACACAGCTTGGAATTAGAACACTATTGAATATTGAACACTACTTATTTAGGCTTTTAATTAAGAGCTATTAAGCTTTTAATTAAGAAAATTT